TTCTGATGATTATGTGGGTATTTGACCAATCAAGCGCCTGTGCTTGGGCCTTCGGCCCAAGCCTCAAGCGCCCCCCCCCTCCCCGCCTGAGAGCTCGACTCACTCCTAGCCCCCCCCCCGGGGCGGCTGAAATTGTTGAGTCAAGCCTCTAACGGGTACCCCCTATAAAAGAATGGGGGGGTACCAGCTTCAAAATGACGGTACCCTTGAAGATCCTGGACTCTCATTGGCTGAGGCACTCCTACTTAATGCCAGCACTTTCAAGTTGCAGCGTCGCCGCTCATTTTGGCGCGAGCAAAAGACACTGGGTATTGTGAAACAATCAGCTCTCCTCCTTTGTCAAGGCTCATCATGGTATTAACAAACCGGAAATGACCGCTGCTATTCAACGATAATATTCGCCATCCATGCGGGGCCACATCAGGACTTCTTTGAGGAGCTTCTGGAGAAGCTCGATGCGGGATTTCGCAAGCGGACCAAGAGGTCCAAGCTCCCCCAAATTTAAGCTGGGGGAAGTGCGGCCAAACGAGCGCAAGGGGCATAAGGGGCTCACCTTCCGCATTGGGAAGCTCCCTTCAGACCAAATTGAGCTTATCATCAAAGAGATGAAAAAGCGGCTGAACCTGCCGTAAGGTGAGCTTTCAGATGACTTTGTATTCTTTGATGTGCTCAATGCGGTTGCTTAGAGTCAGTTCTATAGAGAATCATTCACAAATTTGGGTTGCGTTGCTCAGCAACTTCGTGACCTAAAGGTTATGTGCTGTGAAGAAGACTTGCTGGCTTCTTGTGACAAGTTCCATGAAGAAGTGTTGCTGCCCTTTCTGTGATGATTTAATCAATTCTTCACAAGTTCAAAAAGTGAAAGATTGACTTTGAAGATTGACTTTGAAACCCCTTTGAAAGCACCGCAGGTGGCTGATTGGTAGCAGGTTGTGTGGAGGGTTTCCACGACAATGACTGGCCAAAGGGTTAGAGCAAGAGGAAAAGTCTTTTCAACCAGATTTAGCAGAAGCAGTATCGATTTAGCTTCATCTTGAGCTGCTTCATCCGCACTTCAGCTTCTCAGTGACTGGTCTTTGGCTCCTTGACATGAGTATGAAGCAACCCATGCCATTTTGTCTTGGAGCTATCATGACAAGAGTCATATTGGCATATTGTCATACTGTCATGTTGTCCTGAATTTTGATGGGAACCCAGTACATGCATTCGAATATTGGCTTTCAATCTTTCTGCAAGTTTAATGGATGGTGGCAAAGCTGGCGACATCAGTGGCCTCTTCTTTAAACAGAGGGTTCCTGACAGTGACGATGCGACCGGGGAAAGGATACTGATAGTGCTCAACTTGTATACTCCCTCAACAATTCAATGGGCCAGCCGCAGCTTCTTGAAAAGAGCTAGAGATCTCTACATAGGTTGGTTAGATATTATCTTTTAGAGGGCCATGTCTGACTCCTGCACTCAGCTCAACTTGTTACCTTGTCTTCTGTCAGGTATCTGCTGGTGAGGTCAAGCTCGTCAGACATGCGCCCATTGCATGATAATTGTCTGTAAAGCCCGTCAAATTTGTTGGTCAATGGCGTCACTATGCCTTCACATACTATGTTTTTGAACACTACCCTCTGGCTTTTTACCATACAGGTGTGCATTTTCGCCCGCTGCTTATTGGGGATGAGATAGTCGAAGGCAGATATGAACCTTTTGTACAGGGTTTGAATATGTGGCTGCCCGCGGGGCAGACGATGGGTAGATTGTCTAGGTGTGTACTTAATTCGTTCCAGCTGTCTAGGAGCAGACCGTAAACACTAACTGTTTGATTTGTGTGAAGCCTGTCACAGTGTTAGATTCGTCAAGATCAAGCATATTGGGATCCTGACTGTCTCATCGACGATTATGATTCCGACGGTGTTGCCAGGCACATGACGGCGCACGCCTTTGCCTTGGCAAGCCTGCACTAGAATCATGCTCGGTATACTCAATCGTGGGTTGGACATTTATATTGGCCCCCGATTTGCACCATGCAGTTCGATATTGACTGACATCACAATTCGTTTCAGAACGCCGTAGCAATGCAGGGGCCGGCCATAGGCTTCCATGGCATATACAATGATCAGTCGGCATAGCAATATGGGCCTGCCACGTCCTACCGTCATCCCGGCCGCCTATTGCAGCCATGTTTCGCAGGAGCCTGGATAATCAGCAAGCTCAGTGTGCATGACAAACTGCCTCGAAATGTGTCAGACGGTTCAAATGCTAGCTCCATCAGCTTGGCTTCAACGCTGCGATTGCCACGTCGAGGTCGCGATGGGTATCGGAGCGTTAAGGTATTAGAAGGTCAAAGTGATTGTGTCCGTTATACAACAGCCGCACCGGTTTTCGAGGCTTCTTGGTTTTCGTCGACTTTTCGAACTCCTCACCGTATTGCTGAATCGGCACAAACCCGCTGCCTAAAGCGGACTTGAACCTCGTCTGCAAAAGCAAGGCAGAGCAACCGACGTCAGTAAAGCGCAATGGGGATAACGGCTGTCGATTCATCAAAATCGACTCTTGGGTTTTGCTTCTCTGTTGCACACACGTTGGAGGAAAGAAGACGGTTTGGTGATGACAAATTATCTGTCTATGCTGATGCTTCCGACCGGAATCCGCCCAGGCAGTCGAACGTCCGAATTGGGGAAGGTCAACAGGAGCCACGCTTACCGTCGATTCTGGAACGTAGACGTATATTGGCAGCTTGAGCATTCGAGATAAGACCTGCGTAATGGAAAAGACGATAACGCATTGATCAATCATAAAACGTACCTGGAATTTAGAAGGTTCTGGACAATCCCAGAACCCTGGCCGATCCATAAGTTTCTTTCACAAGTTTGCGGACTTCGCACTTGGCCGACGCACAAATTGTCCGTTGTGTCCCAACAACTTGGAAATAGGCCAGCAACTTCGCAAATTGGCTTGCCCTCATGTAAGAAGGTCTGCCGTACTGACCCTGTATTAGACGGGACGCCATACAACCTGCAAGAAGACCGAGTCGCAGATTCCGAATCCACGACCGCGAACTCACCAGCATTTCCGGCTCCCCTCCCCAGAAATCTGGTCTGCTTAATCGCGTGCAGTACCTGCTTGCAACCCGGAAAGGAAGTGGCTTTCCTACGGCAGTCATATATACATTCGGCGCTGACCAGCAAGTAGAAGCGCGAGTCAGCGGATTCTTCAAACGCTTATCCACAGGCTGGGGAGAAACAGAGCTAGAGAAACCGAGTTTGGGAGTGGCCTTGTGACGAGCTACTCCAGCGAAGCATACTTAACAACAGCTAACAGAGGGTAACTGGGCAGGAAACCGCAAAGCTCCTAGGAAAGGAATGTTCGATTGACCGCCTTTTGGGCAGCCAGACAGATCCGACGAGATAACAAAAAGAATCCGAACAAAGAGGCACGCTGCACTTGAAAGAACGTCTATAAAGCTGAGATGAGATTGTCGTACAAACACACAACTGAGACTTACACTGATGGCAGTCTTCCACACTCGACTCATGAAGAGCAACGCGGTTTGACGCCTGTAAAGAATCAAAGACTGAGACTCCGCAAATCAAATTGGTTCGGCATGCAGTGGTTAGGCTTGCGGTCTTACCTTTCGACGGACTGGTCTAAAGTGATTGCAATGAGGGCCTCCTCGTACTGCCGCCGCCGCCGCTCGTTTGTACATAGGGCGTCGTGTACCGCCAGGCGCAGACTGTCTGCATTCGCAAGAGCAGTGAGAACGGGTTCAGCGTCCGTTATCTGGAAACAATCGGTGGTTATCAGTACGAACCTTTTTGAACGCTTTCAGCTTGTGCAGAAACAAGCGGAACGTCTTGTATTTATCCTCTCATCTTAGCGTTTAGGACGGGCCAAGAAGGGTTCGGGCCCACTCCGTTTTAGTAAAGCGTTGGAGGAGAATCACTGAATATAGTCAATCAGCTAGAACATGCTGATAGCAATTTTCTTAGCTTTGGCCTCAGCCAACTAGCACGCAATGCAAGAAGGCCAACGGACCTGCTTCTTCTTCTTCCCGAAACCCGAGGACCTCTCCTTTATTCGCAGCAAGGCCGCATGCCTGGAGGAGAAGACGGAACGGGTCAAAAAGAGGACGTACATTTGAACAACGTCTTGTCTAGATTAATACCTTACGACATGTAAACCAAGTAAAGGCTGCACCTTCTGGATTGACTTTGTGGTTGTCCTGCCGTTTCTGATCAACAGACGACAAAAAAACTGCGTGCCGGAATGAGCTTTCAAATGTCAAACACCAGCTTGTGATGGCAACAGAAACGTCTGCTCAAGGTCGAGATGAGCGCCCAGCCCACTGGACGATTGCGACGTGTGAATAAGCAACATATGTGATTTATTCTTGAAGTTGAAGCCTTGCTGATGAGAATGGGTTGGAAGGTCAGCCAGTTGAAGAAAGTGGGAAGAGAATATTCTCACCATAGCTCTGAATAGACACTTGCCGTCCCCCCGTATCTTGACCAGCCGAAGGTGCTCTGGCTTCTTATCATTGGCTCTCTGGACCCTGAAACGTGGGGTATCCATCTTTGCTGGTGAAGTCTACTAGTGGCAATCAGAAGCAAAGGCAAGAATCCAAAGAGGAGCCGGTGCAGAGCAAGCTGGACTGCTGAAAGGCTGCCTTGCACGGGAGGAATCAACTTCCCACTGACCTTGTAAGACGTTACGTGCAGATCTGCCAGCGTCTCTTTCAAGAGGAGTGCCTATGAGTATACTTGGTGTCCCTGCCTCAACTGAACAATCTTCGGAGGCTCCTGACCTACCTTCTTAGCTTGAAGTTTGAAAGAATGGGGTTCGCCCAGTCCCGGGTGAACAGATTGTTGGTCATGGACGCGAGCGGAGGCCCTCTTTCTGGAAACGTGTGTATCTCCAACTCAAACATCCTTGATTCTAACAACTGACCACCTGCAACAGGAAATCATGCCATAAGCATCAATGAGAAAAGCTGACATCATGGTATTCAGCTACACTGCCTTAATGTCTGGTTGGAACTGGCAGACCTTCAAATGTGCAACTGTCAAAGAACTGTTCTGCTTTTGGATTGTCAATGATCAATTCCCCTTTTCAACACTTCTGGCAGAGGTGGCAATGCACTTCTGGCAGAGGTGGCAATGACTGCTTCCATCTTTCAAGCTGATACGCCTCGCAAGCCTGGTAGATTTCAAAGATGCAGCTTCCTGGTGGCAGTTGCTAATCGGTGTATTTCTGGTTGGCTTGAAAAGCTTGTATCTCAGAAAGATCAAAGCTTGTGAAGTAACAGGGGGCTATTCGCAATCTATGCCAACACTTTGTCCACGACATGCGGTGGCGCCAACATGCAATTGTGGAAAAACCAACAGCGCTCAGTGAGACAATTGTTGCGGAACTGGCACCCTATACAATTCTGAGATTCTCATTGATTCTTCCGGGTTGAGTTTTCGTAGCGATGCAGCGCTTCTGGAATTGAAATTAGTCCAGCTTAACTCAAAAACCAGGGGGGCAAATGCTGATTGTGATAGCAAAGGGCATCAAGTAAATACCTTTTGATCGTCCCCAATCATCTCCATCCCAGAGCACGTCAGCGGCCCCAACCCCTCGAATGCTGGTGAAGCGGACTCCTTGCGCGCAGTCAGGAGGAGCATCGGAGCTGCTTGCTGCTCCCATGGTGGTATGAAGCCAAACCACTTCCGACGCAGACCCAGTTTTTGCAGGGAATCAAGCGGGACTTTCAACAAGCTGGACTGCTACACCACCTCCCACAATGCACCAGCTTTGATACTCTTATTTTGTATGCTCAGCTACAGTAGCTTTGCAGACCACATACATACATACATACATACATACTTCTTTTATAAGGCCGTAGCGTGAACCATGGACCTAAGAGCGAGTACACATTCTGTTGCGAGTCTGAACGTTTGACTAGGAAAGCTACTCTACCTTTGCAGACCACATCATCATGGCGAAACCTGCAGCAATGCGAGTGGCGACAATCAGAGTCTAGACTTCTCAGAAGACTCTGCCCAGCTCCAGCTCCAGGGCCAGGCATTTCGGGAAAGCTAGAAATTTCGGCACTAGTCAGCCCTCCGCTTATAATCGATTATCGCCCGTCATATTGTCTTCCAAAAGAATATTGGACTAAGGGCTACGCGCATGTCTTGGAGATTGCTGCCTACTTATCCCACATCCAGAAAACCTCGAATATTTTCTCCCACCTTGCTAGATCTCATGAGGAGGAAGCCATTGACAGAGGATTCATCGTTCAGCAGCAGAAGCAGCTTCCGCAAAGAGAGGGGTACCAAGTTGCAGCGCTGTTCCAGGGCACTTTGAGGATAGCTCTTCTTATCTGAGTCAGGAGTGTAAGGGTAGTCAGAAGCGGCAGCTGGCAGAAAGATATTTGACATTTCCGCCTGGCACAGAGTTTGCGGGTGCTGGATTGCTGTGCCGACCAGCGGCTGCATCATTATCTGTTTAAAGATTGCAGATTGTCAGGGCGTTACCATGTCAGGTAACTCTTTGCAACTAGCTAGCTTGCAACTTCCAAAGTAGAAGCTAGCTCACATTCTTAGAGGAGGAGGGTTTTTTGGATGTGAAGGTGTGGTTACCAACACCGCTCATGTTCAAGCCGTTTGTTTAGAAGTGCATCCCTCGTGAGAAGAGCTTTCAAGAAGGCAGAATGGAACTACCAATGGTGCTCACACAGAGCGGTTCAGACCAGCTTTGGACCAGTGCAGGTGAGTTGGTCACTTGGATTGAAGCATGAAGATATGGCGTGGCGCCCTCGGATAAGGACTCTGCCAAAATCAGTCACTGTCAATCCTCCCTTGCCCATTGATGGCTTCACTCAAGAAAAATGTCATTACTTTCATGGTGGTGGGTTTTGTTATCAAGTGCATGATTCTGGAAGTTAATGTCGCTCGAAGGAACATTCTCTGATTAAGCAGCCTTAGTTGGTACAATCACATTGTAACTTATCTGTGAGTAGGGCATGGCTGGAAACATTCCTGAATCTTCTCAGCAGCAATGCTGTCAGCCTGGTCGACTGTCACATAGCTCTTTACGTTGTGTGCAGCATCAAGGCGTACCACCACTCGTGAAAGCCACGGACGAGGTGATAACCCAGCTTCGCTGACATCAGCCGCCCTCCCCGGTCTCCTTTCCGCTGGCACCTCCTCAAACTTCATCGCCGACGACCCCAGCCCCTTCCCTTCCGGTTGCGCACAGCCGTCTTCCACTCCCCTCATTCACTCCCATAAGCCGACCCCCCATTCAAATGCTGACACCCCTGACACTGAAGGGCCCCTGGGGCCCACCTTTGTGGGGTCCGTTTACACCATGGGAGACAGAGCCAGGAAGCAGATGGTGTCTCTGGGCCCTGTGCAGAAGCTGCCCCCAGGAAACCCTCTCCCTGGCTTCTTGGAAGCGATGAATGACATGCCGGTGGGGAGAGCGGTGGAGAAGGGACTCCTGTGGTGGGTCAACCGGGGCCGGGAGAAGCCGCGCTTCGAGTTCTTTTTGGACAAGGAGGCGGCAAGTGAGTCGTCGTCTTTCTGCTCTGCTCACTTCGACTTGGTACAGATTTAGAGTGGGAGCATGGAAAAGCAGATCTTGAATCCGTTCTCCACTCTCGTCCAGCCTGTTTCCCTGAGCTAGCTTGTTTCTTTGGTTGTGTGAAACTATTAATCAAGTCACAATCACAACATTAGAACTAGAGAAGTGCTGAAGGTCTTTTGCGGCGTTACTCCCACCGTACAGTGGCAGGACTCTTATATACAAACAGAAGTCTGCTTACAAACTTGGTTGTATGTCCTCCTTTGTGCAGGCCGCCAGGTCGACGTCACTAAAGCGGGCTGGCTCTTGTCGCCAGAGGTGTCGAGCAGCACGGTAGTGGAGTGTTCCCTCCAGGATGCTTACAACTGCATTAAGGTCAGAATCGCACCTCCGACATAGCAATCTTGGTTGGTAGCTTGCCCCTCCCCGACATCGTGAACCGACCTTCCGCTGGTGCCTTTTTCTTGCGCAGTAGGGGACACTCACGGTAGTACACCTGGCATGTCAGCGTGCTGATCCTCCCACCAACCAAATATAGCCGCTTTGATTAGCAACTTATCCGTTTCGCTCAAGCCAAATCGTCGTATGAGTATCCACCTCTGAATGAACCTCTGCGAAAGTAGGCGTCTGCTCATTCCTCTATCTGAGTGGAAGCCTCTTCCATCAATTGTAAGTGTCTCAGTTGGACACTCATTAGCCAACAAGTCTCACTTAGGCTACACTCAAGAACCCCACACCTGCTCAAGTGTTTCGATTAAACACTCTGCCGCATTATGCAGATGGACTCAGATGCCTTCAAGCTGGTTCCCAACAAGAAGCAGGTGCGCGCTGCAAAGCGCATCCTTCGGAGGCAGTTTGGCTGGCGGGCAGCGCGGGGGTTCACTGGGACCCCTATCTTCGTCGCGCACAACTTCAATGTCGTGGTGCCGAGCGAAGACGGTGTGCGCTGGTGAGACCTGCGTTTCACATCTCAAGCCAACTGGCATTACTATGAGTGTCAAGCGAGTGTGTCTCACTTCTGAGCACTCTCAAAGAATCCTTATACGGGACCGGATCCTGAAGTTGAGTTCTTTGTTGACGATCTTCAACCAAGCTTTTCCGGGTGATGCAGACCCTTATCTATCACGCCTTTCCCACAGTCTTATGGTGTGTGCGGTGTTGCCTTTCTTCAAATCAGCACGGAGTTCCCTCTGCTCAGGCTCGGCCAGCTGCGTTGTGTCTTGGGCTATTCAAGTCAAATCATTTTTAAGACTGGCATTCGATAGCTTTCGGTTTCCACAATGGTAACGGGCTGAAGTAAGTTTTTTAAGTTGTCCGTCTGCTCTTGTGACCCTATCTTTTCGTTGGCCCCTGATTCATCCGCTGATTACATCATGGAATTTGTCACGTAAAATTTCAAAGTACAGCTGAAAAACCAGCAACTTCTTTGAATGTCGTGGTGACGAGAACTTACTACAGCCAAGGACAAGTCAAGGACAAGTTCCGATTCCGTTGCTTCACCAACACGTCGGACGATCATGCCACTTCAGAGGACATGGGCGCTCTAGCAGTATCTACGTGCTTTTTTGACACTTCACTTTTAAGGGTAAGGTATGAAGTGTTTCCAGATCATGTTATGCACTTCCAGGTACACCCCGTGCTTCCTGGACAAGTCCGCGCTCCACTCCGCCCTCGACCGCAGCGTCGACCTCCACTTTGAGGGCCTCATCCGCACGCGCCGCGCGCAGCGCTACAGTTCCCTCGATCCGGGGGCCCCCCCCGGCGGGCTAGGAGCACCCCCCTCCGATGCGGACGGGCTCGAAGAGGACACCAGCCTGCTGGAACCGAGCGATGTGAAGGATCTGATGGAGGAGGCCCCGTCTGGGACGAGCGCGGGAGTCGACAAGATTCTGCTCAACCTGGCGGCGGTGTATGCGCAGGTGAGCAGGGCCTTTCGGTTTTGGATCAGGAGGTCTCGTCTCTGAGAAAGTTTTTTGGAGCGCAAGGAAGGACAGTTAGAAGAACAGAGGCCTGGGCTGTCAGTGAATGGCACCGGACTCGAGCTGTTCGAGGGCCGCTGCGTCGACACCCAATCCCGCGAGAAAGGGGCCGGGGAGCATGCATCCTTTTGTCCAACCTCAAGTTGTATGAAAATTCTCGCCTTCGGGCAGTTGAATTGCGAAGAGCAGGGTGCTTGCCTCTCCGTACTTAAGCCGTCCTGCTCATGCAAGATTGTCCGATCCAAACGCACCACTCATTACACTTTGACGTTCTCTGTTGCATCAGGCCCTAAACCAGCCTTTTGAGCTCTTCAAATTCTGCCTTGACCTTGATACACTCCTCTGAAATCAGCTCAGGTTCTCGTCAGAAGGTTGACCAACAAGACGGCCGCCGCTTTCTTCTGAACATACAACTCTCTTTTCATATCAGTTTTCCTGGTGTGCTGACCCGTTTCAGATCAGTTGCATCACCTCTAAAACTTTCCTTGACGACGTAACTTCCTGGACGTTCAGCCTCCGGCCCGTCGTTCGGCTGGTCGGCTTTCCGCACCTCAAGGTGTTGCTCCTTCTCCAGGACCTTTTTGACGACGTAGCCCTTGGCAACAAGTGGGGCCGCAGCGGGCCGTTATAGTATCATCCGCTCATTCTGCTGTATCGAAATTTTCTCAACCTATCCTTTTGCAGGACCTTTTCGACGACGTAGTCCTTGGCAACAAGAAGATTCGCATTGCTATTCCACATCATCGTTCCGCTCGTTCTACTGTATCGAAAATATCTGAACCCATCCTTCTCCAGGACCTTTTCGACGACGTGGTACTCGGCAACAAGTGGGGCCGCAGCGCGGTGGGCCTCCAGCCGCACTTCTCCATCTCAGTCGACAGCTTCGAGGACTGCGCCGCAGCTGCTGAGGCGGCCGCCATCGCCCAGGAGCGGCTCAAGCAGGAGTTGGCGCACCGCTTGAAGGAGTCTGAGGGCGGGGCGACGGCGGAATCCGGCGAGAGGGGCGGAATCCGGCGGTGGGGACCGGATGCCTTCAAGGACAGCGGGCCACCTGGCAGCAGCTTATTGGGCGATGTGGTGAGGGAAGTCGAAGCGAAACGGAACTCGGGGTTTGACGGGGGAGCGCGAGTGGGTTCCCAGGTTGGAAGCGGAAGTGATGCGGGGATGAATGAGCAGGCAGACTCTCCGAGGAGTCGTGAGAATCCGGAACGGACAATTGGCACCGCGAAAGGTAATGCGGACGACTTACTGGGAAGGGATCCCGCCGACGGCGATTACACAGGGGGCACTTCGGATCAGCGGAACGGAATCGACAGCGGAGTGGGCGCTCACTCTGCGGACGGTTCCAGCAGTCGGCGGACGGCTGGAGGAGCCGCGGACAAGCCGTGGTGGGAAATCATAATGGACCATCCGGCGTTTAAGCGGAACGGGCGAGAGGCCCTGTCCGGAAGCGGGCGGACCCGGGACGGAGTGGTTGTGAACAGAGGGCCGGGGTGGGAGATCGTCCGACGGGGCCCCTTCTGGAACCGGCAGTACGTGTTGGAGCAGGTGGCAGAGGGTGCGGACGCGGGGGGGCGTTCGGCGGAGGGGCACGGGGTGCCGTCCGAAAATTTGGGGAGTGGTACGGGGACCGGAAACGCGGATGCAGAGAGGCGGATTGGCGGGGGGCTTGGGAACGGGAGAAAAGCGAGTAGCGGGGAGGGTCTGAGGGCGGAAGAAGAGGGGGGAAGCGAACGACGGGACGATAATTCTGTGAGCTTATCATCCGCTAAGGGACACTCACAAGAGGCCGAAGGGGTTGCGCACTCGAAGAGTGCGTCTGAAGTTTCAGATTCGCATTCTGGGGATCAGCCGGGTCGCTCGGTGGGGGTGCCCGGAAGCGGGGGACATACACAGGCTGCGAGTGGCCGGTTCATTAGTCAGCAAGAGTGGAACGCGGTCAAGGCTGCGGTCAAAGACACGCTGAAGGGGAGCCCGGGAACGAGCGCGGACGTGCGGCAGCAGAAGTGGGAGGCGCTCAAAGCTTCCGTCGAGGCGAAGCTGGCGCTGAAATACCGGGAGAGAGGGGCGGGGCGCAGCGCAGGCGGGGGGACTTCTACGTCGTTTGAAGTGGAAGAACGTAGTCGGCCGGTTGGTGACGGTCCAGTAGAAAGCGGAAGACGTGTTGCTGGCAAGAGGGGGAGTTCTTCGACAGGGAGGACCGGTGTAACGGGCAACGTGCGGAAAACGGGCGACGGGATCGATGGGAAGAAGAAACATCTGGACATGGGCGTTACGGTGGATCCGCGGTCCAAAGCGCGGCCTGGGGCGGCGGAAGCTGCGGCGGGGCAACTAGGTGTGGCGGGTGTTGTGCGCGACGAGGCCCGCATGGCATTGATTGCGGTGATGTCCGGAAGTCCGCAGGAGAAAAACCTGCAAGGGGCTCTGGACGCCGTGACTCGGGACATCCATGGCAAAAGCGCAAACGGTTCCGAAACGAGTATGATGTTTATTGCAAATGTGGGCTCGTTGTTTGTGCCGTTAGGGTCGCAAAGCGGAGGACCGCAAGGGGGGATGCTGTGAGGATTTGTCGTCCGCTCTTATCACCCTTCAGCAGCATAATCTGACAAACAACGTATGTTTGTAGCTCGTCGGCTGTCTCCGAATGATCAGAATTGAGTCCAGAAACCAAAGGCGCTCATCAAGAGTACTGTAATGCTACCAAATGAAGGCGTGAAGGCGATGGAGGCTGGGTGACTAACTTTGAGTTGGAAAGTGGGGTTGCATATATGTGCCCGACCAGGCTCAAATGGCCGCCTGGCTAGCGAGCGAAGCTTCATATTATCTTCACTGAATGATCACATGTTTGACTCTGACTTGACCTTTAAAGTGGGTGCAGCTGTTGCAGCCACCCCCTCATGCAGTCGTGAATACAAGGATATCATTTGCTTTCAAGAATTCACGCGGCGACGCTGCTAGCCTCCTGCTAGCCTGATCTGCGCATGGGTGCGATGTCCTACTAAGCTACCTATTTTCCAGTACGGTGTGACTGAAGCACGTATTAGATCTTACATTATAGCTAATTCATGCAATCCCAGCAATGCATGCACGGGCCGGCGGGGCCCCCAGCCGAGCGTCGCGGACCGTGGACTCACGCCCCTTTGAGACGCGCGGCCGGCCTGGCCGCCTTAACCGTAAGGTCTTACGCGCGCGTGCGCGTGTAATCATACTGCATGTAGCTGCATTGATTAGCATTTAATTGGCTGCATTGCCGCATTCTGCTTTGGGCGTTTCGAGGGTGAGGGAGGCTTGACGTCGTGGCAGAGAACAAGAAGCTGGAGAGAGAAGCAGCAAGGAGAAAGCCCAATGGCTCCTCCTATTCAAGTCCTTCCAACAGATCTGCTCACCGTGATTCTGATGAAGGGTTTCAGCATGAAGGAGTTGTTGCAAATATCAGGAGTGAGCAAAGCATTCCGTAGGGCAGCCAGAGGTATCAAGGATGTGGAGTTAGAGATCGGCTGCATGACTTGTGCCAGCAGGGAGGACTGCCAGTCCACCAAAGCATACGGCCGCTTCCTTGCACAGGCGCAGAACGTGAAAACCCTGCGACTGAGAATTGTAGATCGCCATTGCGACAGTTGCAAGAGCGCAGGGAATAGCTGCAAGCTGTCTGAGGTCTTTCCCGCCAAGTGGATTGAGTCTCTGAGGGATACTCTCGAAGACTTTACCTACCACGATCCATACGCCTTCATCATTAGTGAGGAGCGCTTCGACATACCACCCTTTGACGAAAACGAGCTCACTTTCACCGACTTCATGCTGGAGTCTCTCTCGCGGTGCAGCAATCTGAAGCGGCTCAAATTATGCACGAGGAAGGTTTTTCGACACCAAGGATGCTCATGGCAGCTTTCCTTCCCCAACAACCTTTCCGAGTTGAGGCTCTCGAATTGCAGCGGGGATCAGTTGGTCGGGGTGCTGAACCAGGTTAGCTTGACACAGGCATGCCCTTTTCTGAAGAGCCTTTCTCTTCAAGGGAGACTGGAAGGAACGCTGTGCTTGAACTTTGAGAGGTTGGAAAGCTTGAACCTCGACTTAGCTTCTCGTGCTGAAGCGCTTCGCATCGACCTTACGTCCACCCCCAGCCTTCAGCGTATTTCGCTGCGCTTCGAGGAGGAACATAGGAAAAACGACGACTTCGAAGAAGATCGGTTTACCTTGGTTGTCAGACACAAGCTGCTTTCGTTGACGGCTCTGGATTTGATCAATGCTACTTGGGAGCAGACGGTTCAGCTGCTCGACAATAGCCCCAGTCTTCAGGATTTCACGTTCAATCAAGGGGTACTGGGCTTGGATGATGACGAGATGGAGATCAACCTGACAGTGATGCTTCAAAAAGTGGCAATCTCAAATCCTTTGCTGGAATACCTCAAAGTGGAAACATCCAAATTGCCACCGAGCGGCCTGATGGAGCGGGGTCCTAGCCTAAGGCACCTACGGCATCTCAGGTTTTGTAATCTCGATATTTTTGACCTTCTGGAATTGACCAAGAATCTGCATAGCCTCCTTCCAAACTCCCCGCTTCTTGAGAAAGTCGCAGTTGAGGTATACGTGATGTTAGATTCAGAAAGGAGTGAGGAAACGGATGGCCTGATTGACTCTATGAACAGCTTCTTCAAGCTACAGAGAACATTTCCAGGAGTGATCTTTGAGCTTGAGAACATGGAACGTTGACATTGAGCAATATTAAGTGAGGTTCTTACCCCGCGACGCGCATGTTCTTACGACTGAAAAGTGTCAGACTTTAAGTACATTACAATCGCCATGCATTCGAGTCTATATATTTACTCCACTTCAATGCGTGGTCAAACAGAGTCTTGTATCGCAACACATGATCCTACAAGGAATGCATGATCATTGTCGTCGAATGGAACAATATAGCTGGCCTGAGTCAGTACATATGTGATTACCCTACAATGGCCAGCCGTGCAATTAATGATGTAACTTTGAGCGCAATCAATTGTTGAACAAGAATAACAATAACATGCAATAACAATACAAACAATGGTCTTTGGCCAAGCCAACTCAAAGTCGCATGTGAGTGCCACAGCTAGCCTCATGCACCTCAAATATCACTCCTCACTGCTACGCCTCCCTCCAGCAATCGTGAACAAATCAACGCGACAGAGAAAACCGGACATGGCCAGAGGCCCCGCCCCCAAAGTGCTCTGAACCGCGCGAGCCAATCGATGGTGAACGGCTCTAGCCTGGCTGCGCTGCAAGCTGACCGAGATGCGCTGACGATAATAGGGCAAAAACGAGAAGCCTCAAGAGCTGCTCATGAACTGCTCATGAACTACTCACTGATCTGAGCGATGCAAGCATCCAGCTATCCACTGAGGAAACATGCGCATATAGGCCGCTTGCTCAAGCGCAGCGTGAACTCCAAATACCGGGCAAATACCTACACGCATTGAGCTACTACAAGATTACATATGTTTGCAAACACCATACTTTGATATTTGCACGTACTGACCACTTGACGGGCAAGCTTTTATTGCCTTTCAGATGTGCTTCCGGAGTCCATAGCATGCATGCATGTGCAACTTTTCGGAGCACATACGTCAGATACAGTCACCCCTTACAGAATCGCACGCGGGCATACTATTCTACAAGATTTCAATCCGATCACGGTAACTAAGGTCACACTCGGTTCCTCGATCTATCACAACAGTCTCTGCAGCTATCTGGCCCTACAAAACTGAGGCGGGGACGGACATTGCTAGCCGCGTTCTCCCAGAAACTTGCCACCGTATCTGCCCCGGCTGTTAAGCAGTCAGCACCTCCTGCGGTGGTACGAGCTGGGCAGTGGCCGCAGTCTCTGTCGGATCGCGTGGTACAACTGCCAATCTCGGCTCTAGACGATCTCCGGCATGATGTAGGATGTGAAGCAGATGGCAGCCAGCACAGTTCCGTAGCCCTTCTTAACTTCGTGCTCCTGCAGAAATGCCACCCCGATATAACATGGCACTGAGCGAGTCAAGGCACAAGCAATCGGTCCCCTCGGATGTGCATTTAAAGCTGCGGGAGACTGAAACAAAGATGTAGGAATGGAAGCTCTCTCTGTTTGAAGGTAAAAGGGCAAGCTCGAAGTGCACTTTGAAGAGGAGTTCGCATGGTCCAATTAAGGGGGACTTCGTATGAGAGCTTGCAATGCTCAACGCGACCGTTAAGCAAAGTCGTGGCAACATAGGGCGGCACAAATGACAACGTCAGAATGTCGGGGCAACACGGGTCCTCGATATTGAAAGGATGGAAATGAGGCTGGCCTGCCTCCTTAATGCTTCTCGTCGACCACAACAAAAGAAAGTTACTGACGCCAGGAGGCATTTCCGCGTCCAGTATTAGAAGTCGGAACACGTGTTTCCAAACGAAGCATCGCAACTCTTTCGACACAAGTGCACGAGCTTTGGGCTTTGCAGGCTGTACGCAGAAGCATACGCATAGTGCGGAAGATCACAAAAGATCTCATCCGAGATGCCAACATGTTTCCTTAGAAGCAAACACGGTGGGAGGGGAGTCTCATCCTCACTTGCACGGTGTAGTCCTCTCCGAAACTCTCATACTCGTTGGTGTCGTACCGCCGCTCGACGATCCCACGCAAGTCGTCCTGGAGGGACTTGGTCGCGTCGGCTGCGCACGCGTGGCCCTTGTACTCTGCAAACAAGGTTGACATCGAGTCAAGATTGATTGCCTTGGAAATTGAGAACATAGCAACTTAATCAGCTTGTATTGCAATCAATTCGAAGTGGGCAGATCTGTAACGCAGACGAGTCTGTGACTAGACGTCTTCCGCTCGATCTTGGATTGAAGCCAGCAATGGCAGATGATCGCAACAATTTGGGGCGCATGTTATGTGCTAGGAGGCAAGGAGGTGAGCTCACTTAGCAGCTCTTTCAAAATGCGCTTGCTTTTGGGTTGGCGACAGCACATTTTCTAAGTCATCTGGTCGAGTTGACAAATTGGATGACACAGACTGTTCGACATCCGGTACGCAAACCGTGAAGGAAAGGCAAAAGGTTTCTAAAGAGAGCGCCTGTCAAAGCGTGGCAAGGCAAGCAGAGGTATTATATCAATTCTGGACGAGAACGTTGTGGCAGTGCTCACTTTTGTCCGTCTCGTCCTCAAGCATTCCTTAAGCACTATACGCAACCAGATTGATCATCAGCACGAAAAACTGAATGCGCTTCTGGTTCAGAGACAGAAAAAGAAGAGTTGGCTCACCTGCAGCGTAGCCTCCAATGACGAACTTGTCCTTCTTGCGCCGCACCTACACGAGAAGCGACTTGTTCAGCCGCTCGAACACTCTGCTTCTCCGAAACAGTGGCATTTCCCGCAGAAGCTTTCTGGCCGCCGAAGGCATCGAGGCACGCCTTGCACATACTGTAGTCCATGATAATCTTTACGTGCACATATAACCACAGCACCATAAATGTAAGCAGTTGGAAGCACTCTTCCCAGAAGACTCTTAAAACTTTGACAGAAGATTTGAGCTAATTTTGATGACGACGGAGTAAGGAGACACGGCAGAAATATTATCAACCCAAGAAACAACAAACTTGTTCCTGCGACGTCATCGGGAGCCTTACATGGATTCGGCCAATGCCGGCGCAGATCCGGTCGCCCTTGGTTCCATGCATCACGGACATGATGGTCTCCAAAACGGCACCTGCAACGGAACTACCTTTCTAGATTCCGGCCAAACAATCTCGGACCTCTTAGCTTCTCGGTCGGCCACAGAAGTTAACTGTCCAGCAAGTTGCGACGTCAGCATGAATGACTCTGTCTTGAGCCCAGCACGTTTTGTATTGCCTCAGGCTATTGAACGGCCTATTCGAACCTATGCTTTTGACTTGTGTGTGACGACGAGTCTGAATAATGGTCGCCTTGGTCCCCTCGTTGAATCAGCGCGCAACTTTACGAAGTGGCCCCGTCCGCAATGACAAGCGGGAATGCAGAACGTGATAGATCCAGATAACTGCGGCAGCAAGCAGTGCACAGAATGTGTGCGTTGGTCCTTAGATATTCGTAAGCTGGGCCGCCTGGTCACTAGTTCTCAGCTCTTCAGCCTAGTCCAGAAGCTCAATTTCCATGCCCATACGAGGTAGCGTCACTGCTAGATGCACAACCGACCAGCATATGTCTCCTACAAAACGAAGGGTCACCTCATGCATGATCACGTCCAGATCATCAAACTGATCCGGACGTGATCAATCAGGTACAGCAACTAGTTTCTCAGTCCAACTTTAAGCACCTATTACATCAATTGAGAAAAGCAAAGATACTCACCATGCATGAAGTTAGGCTCTGCATTTTCAAGGGGCGTCTCATGTGCTTCCGGGGGCAGAACCGATGTGTACTGCAAAGAAGGAAAAGTGAGAGAGATCCAAAGGGAGCTTGTAACGCGTGACAAGCTAAAGAACGCATGCCAGGCAGTAGAAGTGGAAGCCATGTTTAACAAACACCCATTGAGCTCACATATCCAACTTGGATTGTGCCCAATTTCAAGTTTTGCTACAGAAGGGTTGCGTTCTTAAAAGAAAAGTACAAGGAAGCAAAAGGGCACATGTCAAGTAAACAAACGTACGGATTTTGCTGCGGTGCACTCTGAAGGTGCGCACCTGTAATATGTTGAACTGGTGGATCTTAGCCATCTCAAGCGCCATGTCATATGAGCCCGTCTCGTATGGATCACTCCCAGCGCCCTCGTCAGTGTCCCCAAACCCCTGTCATGGAAGACACAAGTCCTATATGAAAGGATTTACCTGGAAGCACTCATGCCATGCTTTCTAGCTGACACTTTGACCAGAGGAAGGAACTACTTGCATGCCGGAAAAAACTTGTTCAGAAACATAATATTAAGGACGAAAACCCGAGTCACCAAAGATGCAAACAGGCTTGGTCGTCATGCATGCGCCATCAGTGCGAGCTACGTTGCTTTCCCACTTGTTCAACCTATAATCTCAAGCTCAACATGTGTTCAATATGCGGCAGCCTACAAAGACAACCCACCAAGTCACTCACCGCCCCCTGCGGCCTGACATCATGACACCACCCTTGTACCCCGTTTGCAAGCAGCTCAACATTTAGCACAGAAGCATTAAGGCCCCTCAAACGCCCCTTCTCCTCACCTTGGTGACAAAGTACTGGTACGGAATCCTGGGCACCACCACCAGCCCATGCCGCCCACTCGCCATCTTCTGCCGCTTCAACCCCACCATAGTTCCCCCCGACGCCTCCCCCTCAGCCGACCTCTTGCCGTTTGCGTTGTCCTCTTTGGTGTCTGCAGGTTGTTCCTCATCAGTGGGTTGAGGCTCTTCTTCCTTGGGGAGGTCAGCGGGGGGCTCAGGCATGGTGCCTTTCCGGCCCCCCGTGCGGGTGTTGGACGTCGGGCCGGGAGTTGCGCGGTGGCGCGGCATTGGTAAGTATTTGACGACTGGTATCTGGTGGTTCAGGTAGTTGAGAGGGCTTCTTCAGCTGCTGGCAGCGGTGGTTGATCAGTGGCAAGAGAGCTTGCTTCCTTGAAATTATTCTTTAGAAGATAGAAGTATTACAGCATGCTGCAATCTAGTTCAGCCACGCATTGCAGCCTGTTCCCTCAGTGTGAGATATGAGCTGCAGCGCTCCAAGAAGAAGTAAGCCCAACTAAGGAGAATGTTTGAGTGAGGATGAATGTCCAGGAGCGGACTGACAGGTCCGACAAATGCTGAACAGCTGCTGAATGATACCTAGAAGACCAATTGCAGCGCGCCAGCTTTTACGGGCAGGGAAATTCCCCTTTAAAGGCGTCTTGGAGACTTTTAGAGTAAAAAGTGATGCGTCGTTCTAGCGCCAACGTCTTGAGCAGAAGGCCTTTCCAAAGAGCTGGCATTCAAGTTTGAGCTGAGACTCAAGAGGGCTTGCATTCAGTAGCAAGCCCTCTAAACAGGGCTTTGGAGTCTGGACTGGGCCGGGCGCCATTATGCACTGCTGACTTGGCTGCGGCATGTGCCTTTTGCGGACGTCATTTTTCAGACTTGGCACCCAAGGGTGACGCAAGACAAAGCGCCGGAAATAAATGCGACTGCATGCAAAGATTTTGCGGACTTGGTGACGTGGCAATCAAGTATGTAGAGCCAATTTACACATTACCAATCACGGCACAAGCACAGCTGATAAAGCGTAGTGTGAACAGGCGCAAGGAAAGAGAAAGCGAGTTTCAGAAGTTGATGCTGGTTCCTTTTCTTGGTCAGTTTGCCATGTGCTTGTGAATGTGGTTGGAACTTGGCGCTACACTGGTGACCGTGTTGAAGATTTGAAGTTCAGCTCGCGTCGCGCTTTCCTTAGGGACGAGCTCACCCCTCACATTGCAAGGGTGTTGCTGCTTCTGAACATACAGTTGAATCAGCTTCTGCGCTTTTGCTCAGTCGCAATGGCCCCAAGGAAGCGCGGCGCTGCCTCCAAGAAGGAGCACACGCAAGTGCTGCCAGGGCGTCTGGGCGAGAAGGACCAGCAGGAACTCGCTGTTGGTCTCATAGACAGGTAAGTGCACTTGAGGAGTAGGAACTTGATCTGATGGAAATTGGAGTCTGAGCTAATTACTTTTGTCTCCATTTTATTTTTGAGCTGAAACATAAGAGAAGGGGCATTTTGTGGCTTTACTCAGTGGAGTCATATCCAGCTCATGATGACGTTTGGGGGCTGACTGTCAACCTACCCTGTCTGGTTAGACTGCATCCATTGCAACCTTATACCGTTCGTTGCATTACCCCTTGATCCCCCTTCCAAGACATGCGTTCCTCTTCTTTTCTGCAAGAGCAACAGAAGAGCAGGACAATGTGGATTATGCCATCGTGCATGTACATGTATTCCAGTCAAGGATGGTTACTTTACCTTTTACCTTTGAAAGAAAGATGGCTGGAAGGGCAGAGAGGCATTCCTGAGGTATTGGATTGACATTGTGAGAGGGCTATACAGCAGGCTGCATGTGGTTCTAAGGACAGGAACAAAAATGGGACCAGCCCTCCATTTACCATTCGGTGGGGGCCCACTGTCTGAAGCCTTCAATTGTATTTTCAGTGAGATGTATTTCACCAGACATGGATGCTCAGAACGCCGTAGTGTCAGTGCCATCGCTTACACAAGGCAACTTATGTAGAAAATGGTTGTAAGAAATTCTATGCTGACCTTTCATTGTGTTTGTGTGACATCCAGCTCTTCGAAGGGGAGCTTCTTGGTCTTTTTGCGCTTGCTTTGCCCCCAAACAAGCAATCAAAAGGGCAGATAAGCAAATCGACATTACCACATAAGATTCACATTTTACCAAGTGTCTTCACATTTCTGGATTTGTCCATACCCACCAAACTTCATGGTGAGCATTAAACATGTTTTGGAAGCGTATGATAACTCTTCTTGGGTAGAAGCCCTCTTGGGGCCAGCTCCTTTCATTCCCTCCAGTCTTGATTGGCTGTTGTTACTTCTGGCTTTTGAAAGGTGTGCTCAAGGTCCCTTTGCATTTCCTCGCCAAATAGTTGCATGTGTTTTTCAACGCTTGCGTCAGTTAAGATGATGTAATACTGTTTTACCTGGACTCAGTCTGAAAAATGCATAGCCTACAAAACTTGCTGTTGTCAAACATGGGCAAAACAGTGATGTGTCTTTCTCTCCAAACAAATGAATACATTGAAATTCAATGTAACTTAGAAAAGTATTGATATCTGGGTAACAAAGCTTTTTGTCCTTGTGAAAAATGCAGGTGCATGCACCAGCACAAGCTATCTTACCATCATAGCTCTCAGTTCTTTTATAGTTCCTGCCGTTTTCTTACTGCTTATGGTTTGCAAGCAATGTGAGCCCTGCAGGCGCCCCAGTGTTCACAGAAGTTCTGGTGTCCTGCACAGGGTCTGAAAAGAGGCTATCCCAGGATCCTCTGAAAATATAAGACTGACTCAATTGCAATTGCTAACGCAGTTGCTGTTTCACCAAGTCTTGTCAAGCTTCTTGGGGGCACACTGAAGAGCTGTTGTAGAGCGCTACTTTTGTTGTCTAACGCAATAATATGCGGACTGTACTTGCAAATCCCCAAGGCCTTTCGCGCCTAAAATACCCCTAGTTCCCTGAATCCGTGAGTCTATTCGCTGAAAGTAGGCAAACTCTCAAAGAGAGCTCTACAAAACCTGGAATTCCTCGTTATTGCAAGTATAGTCGTCGCCGCCTCCACAAGGACTCCAACGAGTCGCTCCAAAAAAATCACCCCTTGTTTAAATATGTCGGTTCCAATCCTTAGCCAACTATCTGCAGGTACGGCGGCCGCCAGAGCAAGGAGGCCGGCATTGACCTTGAGAATGGGGGTGACGCGGCGCTTGAGCAGTGGTTCCTGCTCTCGGTGCTCTTCAGCCGGGGGATCAGTGCGGGGCAGGTCGTGAACACATACAAAGTGCTGACTGAAGGGGGCATCAAGAATGTGTCAGACGCCGGCAAGCTGGAGTATCATGCGCTGTGGGACAAGCTGTCGGTGAGTGGGGCAATATGTCATCACCAGTTGGGGGTTTTGTACACCAGCTTGGGTTAGCTGAGAGTTTTGATTAGGACGAAACTTACATCAAGGGAGGTAAACGTGAGGATGAGGCGCTGTGGGACATAAGGACGGATTTTGGAGAGTCTTGAGTGACCAGGGAGGCTTGTATGTGCGAAGTGTGGGGTTGGACACCAGTCTGATTCGAAGCCCCAGGAAAAGTAGTGGGTGCTTTGATGTAAGTTGACATCTGGTAGCATGGTTTGATGGTCCGGAAAGATGCGCTTGGTTCCCTTGTTGACTCTTGTGTATAAAAATGCCATGTTGGACTAGGAGGGGTCCGAGAATCGGCTGTTGGTCAGGGGTCAGGGCTTTTCAAGAAAGCGCCCTGTAAGATTCTTACCATCCAGATGTAGATGCCTATAGCTACGAAGGGGGTGCAGGGGGGTAAGGTAAGAGTTAACATTTTAAAGACGAAGTATTTAACGGTTAGGAGAAGGAGCAGCCAGGGCGACATTGGCATTGGTGTTCTGGGGAGGGGCAGTCCAGCTGACTTGGTAAGTGCCCCAAGAGGGACAGCAAAAATTGTGCAAGAATATACAATGGGTCAAGAAGGTCCCGCTTCAGTACGGGCCTCTTGGACGGGGCGGGACAGAGGAAAAATAAAAGTCAAAAGGGCTACCTAATCGAGTCCAGGCACATTTGAAGCCAAGCAAAAGAGCTGAAATTTTTATTGATTATTGACTACGGAGGCATTGAAAGCAGGAAATCTGCTCACATGACATTCCCCAGCCTTATCCGTATATGGATTGGCATCCTTTGCACTCTCTTCCTCCATGTTGTCTCACATATGCTCGTCGATCCGGGCTGGTTGTCCGGCCACCCGTTGTTACCAGGCCAACTTCCAAGAACTCAGGGTAAAAGTCTCGAGTTCCATTCCCCCCTTCCTCCGATAAGGGTAACTTGCAAAAGAAGCACTCTAGGGTGAAAGAAATCGACGATCCAAAGCGAACCTCCAGACCAACCCCGCCCGTTCCGTCCATTCGAACGTCTTGGTTCGAGACCATTTCTCCAATTTGCAGGAGGGTAAGGCCCAGCGCCGCGACCGCACCACCAAGCAGCTGCAATCGCTGACTCAGGTGTTGCAGGACCAGTACGCGGGCAGCGTGCGCCAGCTGCTCACCAGCTCCGAGGACCCGCAGTGAGCAGTCTCCTCTCAGCAGTCTCCTTTGCTCGAGTAGTGACTGCCAAAGTCATCCTCTTCCCTTGATGAGAGCTCTCCACCTCTCTTGCATCCATGTCTGTGCAGCGAGCTGCGGGCTAATGGGGTGACCTTCTTACACATGATCGTTGTGAAATATTGTGGCGTCATTGTACCCACAAAACGTCGCTGCAGAGAAGACAAACATCTCACTTACCCAATCGCCTTCGGAGGTACCTGACAATCGATATCTGAGATCTCAACCGGATGCACCGGCGTGTGTGCAGCGAGGTGCATGCCAAAGTGGAAGCCCTGCACTACACGCTCACCTGCAGAGAAAGAGAAGAAGGAAAACTAGTATAAGACTCGATGCATCTGAAATACAGAGGAGAAAAAGCTTGGCTTCAAACAGTAAGACTATCTTTCACTTGACCCGAAAATCGTTGATTATCGATCCGCCGCTTGTGTGCAGCGAGGTGCGCGCGAGCGTGGAGGCCCTGCCGTACATGGGCCCCACCACGGCGGAGCTGTTCCTGCGCGACCTCAAGGAGCTGTACCCGCAGGTCAAGGACGTGCTCGACGTCAGCGAGAGGGCGCTGGAAGCAGCGCAGGTGAGAGCCGCGGGTCGGATTTCTCGGCATTAATAACAAAAGTCGTCTTGTGACCGACGGGTGAAGAGGTGTGGTCAAGGACGGGCTCGACATCAGCGACAGGGCGCTGGAAGTAGTGCAGGTAAGTGGATTCGTGCCCCGGCGTTGAGAACTTTCTGACAAGGGTCACCGTGGGCACGGCCGGTCGAGAAACGTTTCAGTGCTGGCCCCAACGGTCAGGTTTTCACTTTGGTCTTTTCGTCTGAGTATGTTTCAGGTTCTGATCTGGAAGGAAACTGTCTCAGAACCGTGGGGGCTGCACGCGACAAGGGGAGTCCGTATAGGCTTTTTGAGTTCTTGCATATCAGTGGAAGAACGTTGACAGGGCTCTGAACCAGGTTCTAATAGGGACGCGGCGTCTCGAGCATTCGCAGCAGAATATCATGCGGGTTGGTTGTGGTCGTGTAGCCGATCTAACTTTGATGACGGTCAAGAGGCTAATTATATGTTTCTTAGGTTGTTGAGCAGTTTTCGATGGTTCGAGGCATATGTTTCTATTACTTTGTTGGCTTTTGCAGCTACCTTGTAAAGTTTTCGATGCAGTGACCACCGGACGACACCTCTCTACCCGTGCCGTTTCAAAGCAAAGAAGCCAGCGGGCTCATTCATTCTGAAGAGCCCGACGGTTTGCAGTGCTTGTGTATTCCGCATCATCAGCGGTGAGCCGAACCCAAGTCATATTTAGCTCGAGCGATTTTCCTCCCAAGGCACCGTAACCTTTGCCTGGTGGCTAAGCCCAATCAGCAAGCCGATGACATACGTCAGCACTTCTATTAGTGACCTCAGCAAGCTGAACAATTCACGATCCCTTCGCAGCACTTGGGCCTCGTCTCCAAGATCGCGCGGACCAACAAGCGCCAGAAGGGCGCGGATTCGGACGGCCAAAAGGCGCAGTCGCCGGTCAAGGCCACGGACGTCCTGGAGGAGCTGGCCAAGGCGTCCGGCGTCGATTGCCGGGACCTCGAGACGGCGCTCATCAAGCTGCACAACGGGCACTACCGGGGCTATGCGAAGTGCCCCGGGGGGATGGAGTGCGCAGCGGCGCAGACAGACGGGGCGAAGAAAGAGCAGGTGAGTGGGGTGGAGGGTTGGGCTTCCTGTCGCACACACGAATTGGCTGTTCGTATTTGCAGATTTGCTCTGGGCTTTTTGGACAGTTGTCAGAGCGACTCTGCATGGGCCTGTGGGCAAGCTGTGGATCTAGATGCTTTGCAATCTGAAAAGCTGGCGGGCAGGCTTAATGCCGTCCCGGAAAGTTCGCTGATTCTCCAGATTGCAGGACCGTCGATAATTTCAACATTTTGCGAGGATTCTCTGAATGGCTTACTGTTTTGCAGAGTCTGCGACTGTTGTTGATATACAAACCTCAGCTACTAGGTAAAGCAACTGCATAGTGAAATATTGCTCGGTTGGGAACATCGACGTTGCTTGCAATTGCGACAATCTCAAATACGAAGACAGTAACTCGTCCTGGCACTGCTTTTCGGCCTTAGAATTCACCAGCCGTCTGCCGGATTGGTCTTCTTTTCTGCGATGTTGGTAAATAGTCACATTGCATAACGTGCACACGTTTGACGAAGTCGTTGATTGCTTACCTTAATACATATCCCTTGACAGGACGGGGAACAGACTGCAGCCAAGGCCGAGGAAGCCCCCGCCGCAGGCGCGGTTGAGAAGAAGCCGGCGGACGCCGACGTCAGCATGGAGGAGGCCGCTGATGTCAGCAAGGAAAAACCCGCCGAGACGGGCGAGAAGACGGAAGCGGCGCCCGCCAAAGAGGCCGAAGAAGCTCCCGCTGACGTCACCGAGGAGAAACCCGCCGAAGTGGACGAGGACGTCCCCGCTGCAGAGGACGCGGAGCCGGCTCTGGCGCCTGCTGACGAGAGCAAAGAGGCGCCCGCTGACGTCAGCACGGAGGCTGAGGAGAAGGCGCCCAAGGAGAAGGTCGCCGGTGATGGCGGGAGCAAAGAGCAGGCGCCCGAGGGAGACGTCGCCGAAAAGGGCGACCAGGGGGAGGGCGCGAATGGCAAGGTGGAGACGGAGGCCGCCGCCGAGGGAGAAGCGGCGGACGGAGTGGCAGCGGAAGGAACGGAGGCGGCCGGAACCGAGGCGCAACCAGAGGAGGAGGAGAAGAAGTCTGCGCCCAATGGGGGGGCGCCCAAGCAGGAGAATGGACCGGGGGTTGAGGAGAAGGAAGCGCCCGCGCCCTCCGACGTGCCGAGGTTAGAGGACGAGGGGGCGCGCGAGCAGAGAATGAAGAAGGAGGCGCCCCGTGCAGCGGATGGGGTGGCAACTGAGCTCAAAGCGGGGGCGTGATTTCTCGCTTTTGGCGGGCAGCTTAAAACTGTACGTTAGCGGTCACGATTGAAATGAGTCAACTGATCCGGATGATACGTGTACTTTTAGCACGGACGGGCGAGAAAGCTGTGCCACGGACGGGAATGTTGACTTGAGCGAGAGCGTCACCGGTCAATGAGCATAGAAGCGGGCCTGCTTTCGCCCATGTAACGATAAGAACTTGTGTACCATGTGGAGCGTTTGGAGACTAGAGATTGCAAAAGGCTCCGTCTGCTAAACCTTTTGTCAAAGAGCGCTTCATGAAGCGCAATGGCTAGCATGGGCCTATGAAGAATCCTGGGACCAGGGTTTACTTTTGATAGATACGTTTTGGTAAAATCAAGCCCTTTTGAATAGAGCTTGTAGAGTTTGTTGATAAAGGCCGGCTCTTGTAACTTGAAGCGTTTCGTAGAACCTGGAAACGGAATGTTCACCCCAGTTCCAAGCTTCCGGCAAACGCTACTGATTGTTAAATCTATTGGACTGGACCGCCGGATGGACTACGTTTACCTTCATTCGGTGCAAGTAATGGGCATCGATTAGAGTCAAAGCGCTTTGAAAAATGATGCTGGTCGAATCTTTCGGATTGCCGTCGAGAATTCTCGGACGTACACTCAGCCTTGAGCGTCGATCGAATATAGTCACGTAAGAGTTTTATGCATCCGGCCGATCATCTCTGATAAGCGCGTACGTCGCCCAGCTTTTTGGTTCTTGGCATGAGGATCATCTTGGATCTCCTCAAGTTGCTATGGTCACTCATGCATCATGATAGAGCCTATAGACAAAAAGTTCATTACTCTTGGAAGACGGCAACAAGTGTCTGTCGTGTTCTGATCAGACAGAAACAATTTTACCACCTTGGGAACCGCAAGTGGCGAGTGTGCTACAGGCTCTGCCGACCATTGCTATCCCCTTCACGCATGCGCCGCTATCATGCGGTGTCTTGCTAATGATAGACAGACGCAGCCGCGATTCGACTAGGCGTGCCAACGTTTCGACGGTCACACCTGGATGAGATATGAATACTGGTCAGTGGTAACTCTTGTGCGCCCAAACAGCTATGTGCCAAAACATTAATTAGTAGACCCCGAGCAACCAAATTGAAACCCTAACCCAGAAACTTACGCGATCCGCACCCCAACGCACCCTACCCGCGTCCCCCGGGCCGCCGCCTATTTTAAGGCACACTGCGGTTAGGGCAGACTAGACTTACCAGAGTGCGATATGACCATACGTTGATTTCAAAAGTCCCGGCTTGTCCTCAGTAGGCTTGAGATTGCTGGCACAATTGAGCCCGCAGTTGTTTTGCGTATTCCGGAAGGCAAGTTGTCACATCACCTTCGCTTAACGGCTCATCTGAACGCACAATGATTCTTGAAACGGTTTCAGCTCAACGCGCCACATCGAGTGGCAATTACCGCAGACTTACCCGACGATATGCATGACACTGTGATACGCTATCCGGTAAAGCCCACCATGAACACAAAGTCGGTAGGCGATTGTGTCGAAAGGAACGACCGCAACGTCGCTGCTACGTGAAAGAAAGAAACGATGCCCCGTATTTTGGTCATGATATTTTTGGGGCGCCCTAGCAAACGTGGCGGCTCGGACTGACTGAAGGCCTGTGAGGTGGCAAGCTGTTAATTTGTCATCTCAGAGACTGGTTCGTTTGGTTCCAAGTAAAAGTGGACTCTTCAACCTCTCATACTTACAGTTTTGAGCATCAGCGGCGGACGCCCGGCAGTCTGTACCCCTGCTTTGAATCCAGCTACGACCCTTTCTACCGAAGCTGACCAATGAGCTCTCTGGCAATGAACGAAACGCCGGAAGATAATCTGCTGAGAACGGCAGAATTCCCCTTACAAAGTCCGGCGATCTCCCTCCAAGCATCTCAACGGAGCACTCAAAATTTGCCATCCAACTTTAAGGATAAAGGTTCACAACAGCAGTGAATGTGCGATCGGAAGATTGAGGCTGCCTGCAGATTAAGCTCGCCGCTGGTCAATCCGATGAATGGTTACGGACTCAAGGCTCCGAGTTCGAACAAAGGTACTATCCGCAAGAAAGTTTCACAATAAACCGACTTCTTCTCTTCATTATTATGCTTATTTGCCATCGCCTTCATACTTGTCCTCACAGTTTAACAGCTTATCCTCCTTTCCTTGCATCAGAACATCTTCCCAAGGCAGCCCAACGTAAGCCACATCAATGCAGATGGAGGGGATCTGGAGACGGAGGAGCTTCTTACCATTGTCAGAGATCTGGGGGAACAGATAGACAATCTCGAAGAAGTGCCTGATGCTGCAAAGGAACACAGAGGTGGGCAGGCGAGCTGAAAAGTTGGTCTCTTGGAGATTTGGTGATTGGGTGGCCTATTTACTTCCAAACTCAATTCAGCTTTTTAGTGAACGTCATCTTCATCTCCTCAGTACTTGCTTGTATCCGAACTCGACCCGGAACGGGACCGGAAAGATTTCACCCACAGCAATGTGTTCTCGAGGAACTTGAACGGAGAGAAAGTCGGTCCGCAAACAGAAGGCAGCCATCACTAGATAACGGTGACAGGTAAGTGAGGCCTACGGCGGGGCGCGCAGATGGGCGGATCACAATCGTGGAGAAAAGATTTGGATGCAGAGTTCTCGAACGTTAGACCAGATTTGCTGAGTGCGCGGCTGTTACGTCACAATATGGTCCGTAACGACCTCTTTGCGGATTCGAAGCGAAGCAAGACCTCTTACCTGCATTGCATTAAATGGGCCTCGTTTGCTAAGCGCAAAATCTGCCGACAAAGTTAGAGCTCATTGCCGCCCTTTGCGTATATAGCTCCGCTCGAAATTGTCCTTTAGTTCCTGCAATGCTCTTTCGAGGGCCTCCAAACCCTTGGAAAAGCTCGCTCGCGTGTTCGCTGTTGAGAGAGACGTAGGATCAGATCGCAATTGCAAACTTTCCTCCGAAGATAGCGACGCCGCAGATCAGTTCTCCCACTTTTCTAATTCGAATTCGCGCAAAAAATACCAGGTCCCTTTGGCTTAACACTAGATTCGAACGCTATTCTCGACCTTCTTGCAGACGACATCAATGGGGGTCGTCGTGACCTTCCCGTCTGGGTAAAAGTCGAGATGCAAGGTCTGTTCAAGCCGTTGAGCAAGGACTTTGCCACGTCGAACGACAATTTTCAGCTCGTATCATATAGAGGTGGAAACAGATTCCCCCAGACTGCACCTGCCAGAGGTCAAGGGTTAAACCCCTCCTGACTTGCGGGCCGTGATCGAGCGCGCGCACCAGCAGGGCGACCTGAAGAGCGCTCTCGAGAAACTAGCGGAGGCGCTCCGAGCCGACGACCGGTCCGCGAAGAGAATGTTCTACTTGGGCTATCACGTCCTCATGTGCTACGTTTATTTCTTTGACACTCACTTCTTCCTCGACTCCCGGGATCGGGGCGTCACTCCGCACTTATGTCAAGGAACCGTGTAGGAGCGGGGGACCATCGAAGCGGTGCGCGCGCTCGTGCGCGCGGGGCAGAACATGGTGGACGTCGGCGCGTGCGTTGGCGGGTACACGGCGCTGTTCGCGCGCGCGGTGGGACCCACCGGGCGCGTTCTGGCGGTCGAGGCGAACCCGCGCCTGGCGGGCCTGCTCGCGCGCTCGGTGGAGGAGTCCCTGGCGGTGAAAGTCGAGAATAAAGCTGTCGGGGACGGAGACAGGAAGATACCGGTAACTCTCGTGTGACCTAACGGGCGTGTGACTTAAGATACGAGCTACCCGGGCACTTCAAACTAAAATCCTAACCCGAGTAATCAGCCGCTCCGCACCCCACCCCACCCTAACCACCATACCAACCCCACCCGTCCCCCGGGTGCCTATCTTAGGTCACACGGCTCTTAGGTCACACGAGAGTTATCGGAGTGACTGGAAGAAGGTTTTCGTGCGCGACAACATGACGTGGGCCCCGGGGAATACGGTCGGGGCGGCCGCGGGCGCGGGCGCGGTCCCGGTGGATTACGTGAGGCTGGACACGCTGCTACAAGGCGAAGACTGGGCGCGCGCGCGCGTGGATGTGATCAAGATAGACGTGGAGGGATACGAATGGCAGATACGTTTTTCGTCCTTTTTGTCTTTCTGCTGTTAAGTTCATTGAGGAAGCCTCGACAATAATCTCCGTGCGGAGACATTCGGGCTTGCTTAACCCGACCCCTTTTCTCGTCCAAGTCAAGACCCTTACTCAATTCAAGCTTAGGTCGCATGTAATTGTACCGAGGGTGACGAGATCCGGAGATCGACACGGTGTCTTTCTACTGCCGAGTGCCGACAAACGCATTCAAATGCAACCTGAGAACACAGGCATGGGGTCTTCCAAAGCAAGCAAGTCAAAAATCAAGCTTTACGCCGCAGTTTTGGCAAGGGATGCAGGAGACAATAGAGGCCAACCCCAGCTTACAGCTCTTCCTCGAGGTGGATTTACGGGAAGGTTTGCTGCTAACCACAATCGGTCACCGTTCATGATCTAAGTAGAAATTGGTAAACTGTCCATCCTGGTAAGGGCATTTGACCAACCTCCTGGTTAGCGGCTCGTTTGCAAGCGTTTTGTCGCACAATGTAGCCCCACGGAATCTCAATTTCGTAGAGGCGACCTCTAGCGCCGTTTCCCTCCGTGCCTATCCTTTTGGCATGACACAAGTGCAATTACGTTTCAAGCTGCAACTATTTTCTAGCCTATCATATATACTTCTCGACAATGCTTCTGGCTTGAAATCATGAGGTTTGTCCGATCATCCGTTCAGAATGTACTAAGGAGCTGTCTCACAAAGTAAGCAACGCATGCGCTATACGTGCATTGATACTTGAGCATGTCCAAGGTGGTTCCTTGAACGTAACTCTTTTCGCCTCAGTTCTCGCCGCAAGCGGAAGCGCGGAACATACCAACCTGATATGTTCCTTTTTCCGGAAAAGGTCATGTTTTAAGCATCTTCAGTTTGCTTAGCATGCACCGTTTTTTGTATGGCCTGATATGAGAAAGTTTCCTGTCCCGAGCATCTCATACCTTTTCTTCTGCATCTTTCTTTCCAGATCTACGTGCGACGGGACGCTATAAACGGAATTGATCTAGGGGATTCTACACCGATCTTCAAAGGAAACTCAAGATTATGTTCATGATTCATGCAGAAGCCGGCCTGGCAGAGCAAACGATTCCGGGGAATGTGCTTCTGTATCTTAGCAATCAGCCGCTTCCAGGAGCAGACGAATCATGAAGCATCTTAAAGGAGCAGGATCTGAATATCAGCTTGTGGCTCCTTAATGCAGCTGCTTGGCCTTTGTTAGCAGAAAGTCTCTTCGATCTCTATAGTTGAGCATTAAAACGTTTCTGAAAACGATCAGAGCTTTAACTAGATGGCGACATACGCGCGTACGTTGGCCGGGTTCCTTCCAACCCGATTTTTGCAATAGTAGCTGTAAGCATGCACGTACAGATACGGGCTTTCAACTGTGCGGCTGAATTGGCAGGGCTGGCGACGTCTAGGTATTGACTCAGAAAGCATGACACTTCAGGATCTAATTACACGGCTTCATGCCAGCTCGTGTGCATGCACGGCACTGCAAGTGGATGTGAGATCAGTTTGCGTGATTTTCCGCGATACTCGTATGCTGCACAATATCTCTGCAGAAAGAAGGCCCTCTCTTTCACCTCTAGTGTAAAATGGGTCGAAGTAAGGCGCGGTCGATTTCCAATCAAGCTTTATGCACACAGCTGGTGGACGCCAATCCCGACGTCCGACACTTTGCGGTTTGCATGAAACTTGGAAACGTGTGTTTGAACATCATATAGCTCCGGCTCGTGCACGGAGGATTACAGAATTGATCGAATCAATTGGAATGCCTGTCGATTATCAATCAGAACTGCGCGAAAAATGCACCAACCCGAGTCTCTCATATCAAGCTCTCGATTCTCGTTGAAAGTCAGCAATCATCTGACGCGTCAAGCCGCCGTCGTACACAGCTCGGCGGCTTTATTAAAGTGTCCGAAACCAGAAGGCTATACAAGTTCTCCAGTATCTCGGCCGAAGGGGTTGATCGTTACTCCTTGACCAAGCCGCGCGCTTCTAACGGCCTCTCCTCACTCGAGAGTTCGCCGCCCGACCTTGCCATCGCAACGACGTACTGGTCACAGATAAGTTTTCATTCCCTCCAGTTTTTGACACGTGTCGCTCCTTCGTTTTCTCGATCGACACCTAAATTGGATTAGCACCCGATCTTCAACCAGGGCACGTACTGGTAGCGCAGCGTGTTAAGCACAGATAACCCGTCATTCCCTCCAGGTTTCGACACGTGTCGCTGCTCCGTATTCGACACCTGGAATCATTTAGCACCCGATCTTCGACCAGGGCACGTGCTGGTAGCGCAGCGCGTTGCCGGCGTCCAGGAACTCGTCCGGCACCTCGTCGCCGTCGCCGATGCCCGACTCCCGCTTGTGGAACACCCTGCGACGTCGCGGGGGAACGAACGACGTCAGTAACATGGCGTCAGCGGCCGGGCTGCAGCAGAGGCGGTTGTCCGGCCGGAAGGCAAGCGGAAGAAGAGCGGTTTCTCATAGCGTGTAGCTTTGAAGCAGCCGAGATTGTGTTTGGAACTCGAGGCATGGGTTACGGGATGAAAGGTTGCAACATAAACAAGTGCCTGTCCCAGAACGGGACTCTTCGCTCCAACGTTACTTCCAAATCCGTTTCAAAGAAACTCTGCGCCCAATGCCCCGATACCCTCAGGAACTCAGACCCCCTTACCTGCTTAGCTCCCGCCCCGCCTGCTTGCGCACCCGTTCGCCCAGCTTCGCCTTGCGCGGCGCGTCCGCGGCCGCGAGGCCGCCCGCTTCCGTCATCTCGACGTCAGCTTGCCGCAGCCCCGCGGGGCGCTCCATCTCGAGCGTCGCGGGCGCGTCCGTCAGGGTTTGGAGGGTTTGGGCGAGCGCCTCCCACTGGAGGCGCGCGAGGTCCTCGCGGTCGTGGATCTCGGTGACGTGGGCATAGATCTGAGCGGGAAGACAGGAAAATGGAAGTTCAAAAGTGAGCGGAAATTTGTAAGACTCTACGTCGATATGGGCGGAAACTTGCCCAGGTGAAAAGCAAGACCGCGAAGAGCAGGCTTGTCGGAAAGTTATAGGCAGTACTCACTGGAGGCAAAAATAAAAAGAAGAATGCAGATCTTGCTGTAATGATCCGGATCTCCAGGCTGAAATATCACTTTTGAGCAACGCGAGGGCATACCTCGGTCAACAGCCAGGCTTTCAAATTGGAACCTTTCATCCGAGCGTCCGAACTGCCCGGCGAATCCATGCTATTCTGAAGAACCTGCCCATTCAAGGATGCTAGCCTTCCGTCTTGCCATGAGCATCCCGTTCGAGACGGCCCGAGTCAATTGGACTGCTGAAAACGAATGCAAGTCTTGATCTGCCTTACTTTGCCCCGGTCCTTCGCTTCCTTTTTCTCGACTCAGACAAAGACTAGTTCCGTTCTTTCGCTGGGTCGCGAACAGATGGATCTTCTAATCTGTCTCAAACAGGTGGTTGAGGAAAGCCGTTAACCTGAGCTCTGTCTCCATGATGTCAGCGTAACAACCGGTCCCTGCTTTTGAACTTCGAAAACCAAACGTTTGGGCTTAATTCTCGCTCCGCTGCACTTAATTGGTCGTTGGGGCAGCACTGTTTCGTCGGGGACCCCGGCCAGAGTTACGCCCAATACCCCAAAGGCGCAAACGATTCTCGTTGAGCGTGAAACCTCATTTCTAACCAGGAAAGTCCGCCGACCGACTCCTCACCTGGCTCATGGAGCAGAAGGGGCAGCACGCGCCGTAGAGCGCCGTCTTGCCGGCGTCCTCCTTGATGCCGTACTTGTTGACGGTCGCCTTGCGGAAGCCGTACGAGGTCGCCGCGAAGCACGGCAGAAAGATGCTGCACGCGGTGCCCCACTGCACGTGCAGCAGAAAAAGATCAGTTGGATAACCCGTGCAAACGTAAGCAAAGAATAATATCCGGCTCCGTCTGACGAGTTGAAAGCCATGTGCCTTTCGTCCACGCGACGAGATGACTTTGAAACGAATACTGGGCCGTTCTGGAGCAGTCGCGGTTCTTGAAGAGGAACTTAGATCAGCGCCAAACGGCGGGTCCAAGACAAGACGCCTTCTAGCCATTCATTGAAATACGATCGGTGTTGGCGCCAGACAAGGAAGCCACTCTGAAGTAAAGGAAGATTTGAAGCAAAGCAGGAGATTGCTGAGAATGGTGCCGCACCTGGAGGGGGAAGAGGAGGCAGCAGCAGAGGAGACATTGCCGACTCCCACCGTCGATATTATTGAATGTTGACGTGCATTAAGCTGACTCAAAGTGCTGCTGAAGTACATTGAGCTGACAAAGCGTAAAGAGTTTGCGCCTGTTCAAAGGGCATCAAACCAGAAGAAAGTAAACGGGGTCACGTTCGCGAGCGGTACGATACCTAGAGGGGGAAGAGGAGGCAGCAGCAGAGGATGCCGCGCCAGCCCTTCTTTTATTCTGGAACCTGTGCAAAGGCATAGAACCAAAGAACACTAACAAAGAAAGAAGAAAAGGAAAAGTGATTTAGAGAAGCAGAGAACTGGTGAGAATTGCGACCGCACCTGGAGGGGGAAGAGGAGGCAGCAGCAGAGGATGCCCCGCCAGCCCATTGTGACGCAGAGGTCCCAGCAGACGTTGTCGCACACCTGCGGCTCCTCCACGTACTCCGTCCAGATCATGCCGAACGCCCAGTTGGGCCACAGCAGAGACCAAAGCAGCATCCAGTTCTGCAAGCGGGGGTGGAATAAGAGATTACGGTGCTAGCCCCCTAAAGATGTTGTTTCTAGAAAACCGTCTGTGAGCAGATTGGATGATCTTCCACTCTGGGCCAGAGCAACGACCTGAGCAGGATCCAGTTCTGAAGGGTGGGGGGGAGCAATTAGACCCGATGTTAGCCCCCTGAAGTCATTGCTCTGAAAGGGGATGATGTTGAGTAATATGAATGCACGTCCAGTTGGGGGCCACAGCAGCGACCACCGTAGGTTTCAGTTCTGCAAGGGCGGGAACACGAAAGACGTGATGCTAACCATATGAGGCCAATGGTGCTAGAAATCTGATGCTAAAGGAGACAACCAGAACATTCAGTGGGCCACAGCAACGATCACAGCAGGTTCTAGTTCTGCGCTGGGAGGAGGGGAGAAAGGACAAATTAAAGACCCGATGTCAGGCCCTTGAAGGCGATGTGTTTGAGGAGGTAGGTGAGCGATGTTACCATTTTGCGAAGCAGGAAAGAGAGCTAAGATCGTCAGATAAAAAGAACGCAAAGACAAAGCCAAAAGTAGTAGGTTCACCATTCTGGGTCGGGTTTCCTAGTCTATGATTCCATTGGGGACAGGTGCGGGTCCGGACAAGGAAGATCTGCGACAGGGCTTCTGTGCTACTTTCGGCTGCTCATACTATGGCCTTATCAGCATCTTGTTTTGTCCTTGTCATCTTGGAGTTCTCAGACTTAGGATCCTAAAGTGCAAACGTTTAGATCTGTGGTTTAACTTCATTCGACATAGAACAAGTAGATCTTTCCCAGCTGGTAATCGTTCTCTGGGTTGAGGCTTTGCTCATTGGTGATGGGTTCAGGGTGGACGAATCGCAGTCCGAAAATGGAAAAGAAAGACTGAGAAAGATGAGGCCGTAGATTGACTAGATCTGAAACACACGGGGGCATGTGTCCTGTACCATCGTACCCCCTGGTTCTGCATATTGCGCAGCCCCTCTTTGCAGAGTCGAACGGAAATGAGAGTAAATCCTGAAGTCGATACAATCTCAATTGCGGAACCGATCCACAACAAAGAAGAGAAGAAAACGTTGTCACAACAAAGAGAAGGCGCGTTGGCATATCCCCCGGCCCTGTATGTTGCGTCAGTGCACACAGGTGCACAGCCCCTCTTGCCAGAGGTCGAACGAGAAAGAGCGGTAGAACCTGAAAGAGCTTTCACAATTGTGGATATAGGTTCACAGCCAAGAATGACATAACACATCTTGACAGGAAAAAGAAGCCCGAAAGCTCACCCCCCGGCCCTGCACGTCCCGATAGCGCACGCAGTCGCACAGCCCGAGCGCCCAGCGGCGCGGGTTCGGATGCCGCGCCTGCTGCTCCGCTTCGATCTGGGGGTCGTAGCAGGTGAGGCAGTCGAAGACCTTGGAATACCATTTGCTGCCGACGATGCGCTCCTCTTGCGCCGCCTCCCAAGCTTTGGCTTTCTGCGCGGCGGTCTGCGCGCGCTGGACGGCGCGGCGGTAGGCTTCTGAGTAGGCCTTGGTACGAGGGCGGGCCTGGAAACAAAAGTGGGTTTTGTGTTTAAGCATACTTGGGGGGCGATCAAGAAGGGAGGCCTCACTCGCGAGCCATGGGGAGTGATTGTGATTCGTCCCTCAGAGAGGCGCACTAGCAGAGACATCGCATATGTCAAAAACATGTGGGTTGCGGCGGGGGGTTAGTAGGTCCCTACGCAGGCCTTGGTGCGGGAGCGGGCCAGAATTGCAGTTGGGTGTACTTGGGTACTTTTGGGGCTTAGATATGAAGGGGCCAAGACATCCCCGCAGGGCCCTCCTGGGGCCAACCGTTGACGTGAATCTTGACATTTTCAAAGGAAAGCTGAAGTTGACAATGTGACTCTGTCAAGCCGCTTGAATCGCCACCAGCAGAAACGGTGGACGAACAAAAGGTGCGGGGTGCGTGGTATGTTGGGGGAAGGTGAGTTGAGAACGATCATTCATGGACTGTTTGCTATCCAGAGGAGGTATGCCTGAAAGCAGGTGTAAGCAAGTGCTTAGAAGGGTTGGTAACACAGAAAGTAGAGTGCAGTGCAGGAGCTCTAAGAACAGATCTTGTGGCTAGGCAGGCAAGCCATATATTGAATCAGCAGTAGGAAGATAAAAGAAGATTTCATGCACTATCTGAAACACAGTCAAAACCAGAACCTTAGCAAAAAGCTCGCAGTTGCCTGTCCCAGAGAGAAGGGGTACGAGATCTTGCAGCATTCTCCGGCCCAGACGATGCAAGAATCCCCTGAGCCTGAAAGTTCTTGAGAGCGACTCGGACAGTATGATCCAGTCCTTTCCAAGCATAAGGCCCTTGAGCGCATCTACCGCAGGGAAGTAGTGTTACAGCGTCTTCAGCTTATGATTCCCCCTCGTTCTGGAAAACCTTGTCAAACGGCAACAGTCTAGAGCAGCTGCCCTCCTTCGCTTAAGGAACGGCACTTGCACACCGCACGGCGCTCTACGCAGGACTGCAAGCCCCCTGAATTGAGATGCATACCCACGAAACCAGGGCCAGTGACCCTCCCCAAATAGGCTGCGACCACTGTGCACTTCTTTCAGAGGCACTCCTCAGGCTAGTGTGGTCACAGACATATTCAGCTACACGATAGGTCTCTGATCTGTATAGTAGTAATGCACAATGCATCGGAGTGGCAGTGCATCGATCGATCAGTAGGCTGCCTATATTTTTGAGCATAGCCCACTTTTGCACAGCACCCAGGAAACTTGCAGAGTCAGACAACATTTTTGCGGCATTGCAAGGGCACTCAAATGGGAGCCTCCAAGAAAGCCAGCACTTGACACCAGTTCTGTGGGCAGCTCATGATGCAGTCTTGTCTCACCTGCCGGCGCGCACCCTGGCCACACAACCATGCGCAGCACCCTGCGTCCTCTGCTCCCTGAGGACTCTCATTGACCCCCGATTCTTCCGACGAGAATGGGGCTCTGCTGTGCTCGTTGTTCCCATCAAAAGTTGCCAAAGGAACGTCCTGAAAGCCCGCCGCCTCTTTGGGTGTTGCCATTCTTTTAAAGCAGGGGTTTACTTAAGTGAGTTCACAAACTGATAGCCACGCAATGCCAGCTGGGAGTCCTGAGACTTGAGCACGGAGTCTTGCAAAGGGTTGGACGCAGCCGGCCCTGTGCAACAAAACAGTGCACCTCAAGCTTTCCGCAAAGCTACAGAAAGCTCAGGGGCGACAAAGCTTGCTCGATTTCTTCGTAGGTAGTCTCCCACCTCTGCATGGGAGCTGTGAAACTAATTGCTTCCAAGATGCATCAGAGAGTCCGGCTATCTAGAATATAGCTGCACGGCCAACGCCGCGGGACTGCACACCACCCCACAGCGTTGCAAGTCTCTTTTCCCTTTCCAAGAATACCACCACTGACTTTCTCAGCTGTCTTTTGCCCATTGAAGACTGAATGAGTGCAACCGAGCAGCTGGCTGCAATCCTGCCAGTTTTGGGCCACTCCTCTCTTTCTCCCGGACTCTTGGACCTCCTTGTGCAGTCCCGCCTCCTTCCGGCATGGAGCCTAAAAGCCATTTCTTGGTTGACAAATGGTGAGAGCAGCTGCCGTTGCGGCATGTGCAATGCTACGATCAGCATTGCACTTTTCCGAGCACCGTCGAGAAGCCTTCCGAAACACCTCGGAAGCTCGGAGGAGACCGGATGAGGTCATCGGCATTTATTGTGCCGCGGACTCGAAACCCGGGCAAATCGCATCACAGTCAGCGTACGGTTTTGCCGGAGATAAGAGCGGCGCCTCGACCACCGGTTGACAACCGTTACAATTTCATCTTCCTGCCACCTTCGTGCTTCATAATCATCTTCTTCACCATCATAATCCACGTTTTTTGCGTTTAATAAGGTGGCAGATTGTGAGAATGCACGGCCCACAATGCAGCCTCATATCGCAATTTCTGCATTCGTGAGAAATGTGAGACCTAGCGCTACACATAAATCTGTTTGTACAGTGCACCGGGTGCATTGAAAGTTAAGAAGCTTCGAAGATCTGTAAACGGATTGGCAGTACGTTCTGACGGGTGGCTCTTTGCGCTTTGCCACTGGGTGGCCGCAACTGCATGTCCTAAAGGAAAATCAAGTTGTGTACTGGCATTCAGTTTCCGCAGAACAGAATTATCTTATCGACATGCCGCATCTACCAGAGATCAAGTTGGATTCAAAGTCGAGCTTAAGACCTGAACTTGCTGCTATGGTCAAGCCGAACGTTAAAGCCTTGTGAACCTTGTACAGCTAGTATAATGAAGTATGTGCCACTCCTTGCTTACCATATGCGAGGGAGGTTTGAAACGTCCATCCAAGATGGGCTGCTTTTCTGTTTCCACACGCATTAAATCAAAAGACTCTCAACGTGAAGAACACTGGCGGCGACCGTGCAAGATAGAGAATCGACTTTTTGTCCGCAAGACTAAGGTATGGCGCAAATCCTGTACAGGACAGTGCTGACCGGACCGCCGACCGTATGTTTAAGATCTCTTTCAGTGATTCGTACTTCATTGGTACCAAAGCTCTCGTGACTCTCTATCTCCGTAGAGATGCATGTCATCGATTGCGAAGCCGGTCTCGAAGCCACTTGATCCCTTCCTCCAGTCCCTGTCCTGTCAGGGCGCTGCTAGCACTGCAAGCAAGAAGAGGTTATGACGATCAAACACCCGAGCCAGAGAGCAGGTCGCGAGCATTTCGACGAGGCTTAAACGTACTACTCCAGGATGATGATGAAGATTGAGCAGGATAGCAGCAAATATGTCGTTTGCAAGCAACGAGGCCGCTCGGAGGTACGAGGCACTCGCTTCCCGATTCTTGCAGGTTATGCTTTTGGAAGTTGATCCGAAGTCTGAACTATTCGTTGAGCCGGCCTCACCTGATGTGCCAAGCTCTTCGCTTGCCGGGGCGATCGACCGCCAATACTTGGGCTACCTGCGGGCAAAATTGGAGAGACTTCATAGTTCGTATTGGCTTCGACAGATTAAGGTCTTGCAAACAACTTCGGGACGACGTCGACTAGAAGGTGAGACCTACTCGCCGGATAGATCTAGAACCGGATTGAAGTTCCCGGAAGGCACAGCTTGTAAGCGCTTGCTTTGCCAGCCGGGAATGCACGCCTAAGGTCCACTTCTAAAAGCAGAGAAGAAGGGGTCATCAGGATTCATTCTGCAGGGCTCAAGGAGACGTATGCGGAAGTACGCGGCCAGTGCGCGGCTCTGACCTGGACTGCGGGCAGAGCGTGCACAAGGTCTGCTTTGTTGGCAAACACCAGAAGCGGCAAATGCTCGAGCTCTGCACGAAGCGCTCGCGGAGTGGTCAGCGAGACAAAATCCTGGTTTTCTGACAGGGAATCTTAATGGATTGGCGGGTAGTCTTGCAGACCCGCCCGTGCCTGACTAGCTGCAGAGCTCACGTGGAGCGGTCAGCAAGACGAGTATCTTGAGTCTCGCAAATATTTCTTGGTTGGAAGTCTACGTGCGTCCGTGCCAGGCTCGTGCAGAAGCAGCGAACCCGTCTAGGCCAATCTCCTCAATTCGTTCATCTTGTTAGCCAACGCAGAATTATCTTTCCCGTCACGGCTGAAGAATCACGGTTCACAAACGAAGAGAATGCCGCCCTAATGATAGCTCTACTTATCGACATGTGAACCAGGGGCTAAAATTGCGAACCTGGCCGCTCGAGCACCGAATCTAGAAGCGCTTTTGCAGCCGACAGCCGGGCGCGATCAGCCGAGTCGACGACAAAGACGACTGCCTGCACGGACAGAAAGGATTCTGAAGGTGGACTATGAACAGCCTCCAATTCTCTTTCTGCAAACCTGCCCAACAATTGTCTTGAGGCGGTCTTCAGGTCTGGAGCGGCATTATAGCCTGGAACGCGTTCGGATGGCAGAAATAACTTTCCTTACGCACCTTGTACTTGCCGCTAAGGATGGAGGCCAAACTCTTTGGAAAGTCTCCAAAGATATTGAAAGGCGCGCACAGGTGAAAACGGTGCAACCGTCATGCTGAGTGACTGCGACATCCCGACTAACTTATGCTGTCGCAAAATTTTGCAAAAAAGTGAAGAAGATTATAATGAGACGACGTTTTGTTTGCAAAGAACGACGATCGTTGAGGAAGGAGTAGATCAGGAGAACGAAGAATCGATGGCAACGAATTCTCTGCCATCAGACAGGTTAACGTTATAGGAGTGGTGCCTTCAGAAGCTCAGAGACCTTCAACTTTCTCTTCACTTCCTTCGCAACCTGTAGCAACCAGCTACTCTTCCCTTGCGATCTAATAAGGAATCACAGGTACTTCGACAAGATACACGAAACTTCTTGTAATCGTTCTTGCATTCTTACCAAATGTTCCCGGGCTTCTCTGACAACGGGCTCAACGTGTCAGGCTCACCTGAATATCTTTGTAGAAAGACTCCCACAGCTTGACATATTTCTCCTGCCCTGACATGTCCACAACCGTCAGAGCCATCCCGTCAAGAACGAACTTCTCGACAGAAAAGCCAACCGTTGGGACCACCTGGCTGGGCCGCTGTTGCAACAAGTCAACCAACTGTTCAGCGTGTCACCAACAGTGGTGCAAGTGAAACTGTCATCAGAATGCGAAGAGTTGCAAGTGAAGTCCGAATGTTATTCATTCCTATTTCAATGCGGACAAGTGAGTGGATCCAGGTTCGAAAAAGGTTTTGGTATGGTTGGTGATTGCATGGAGATCACCTAGGGGCGTGCAAACCAGCTTCTTTGATGAGCTGCTTCTCAATGGCATGGCGCAATAAGGCCACAACAAACATGCAAGAAGCGGGAATATAAAGGGTTACCTTATCAGCCTTCAGTTGCTTTACCAAGGTCGACTTTCCTGCAACGCAAAAGTAAGTATGTTCATGAACTGAACATGTGTCATAGTGCACCCGCTTTCGGATCCTTCTCAGGCTTCCGGGTTTGTCAAGGATTGAGCAAGTACAACACACGAGAAAAATGAGAAAGCATTGATTGCCTGTCGATGATTACCAGACGATGCCACTTCTTTGAACCTGGGATGAGCAATTTTCGCTGGGTGATCTCATTATTTCAAAAGATAAGGAAAGACAAATGAGACGCTAGGGCACTTTACCTCCATTGTCAAGTCCCAGAACCAACAAGCTAGCCTTCCGCCTACAAAGCCCGCAGCATGAGGTAAACCATTGCATGCCCTCCATGTGATCCTTGCGCCCAACTCATGCATGAATGCACGCCGGATACTATTGGCATAGCCTGCTCAGCCAGCTATTGACCAGCTCAGATTACATCGAATATTGGTCTCTTGCAATCTGAGCGAAGCCCTGCAGTTGATGCACCCAAACGGATGTGCAAAAGAGTAGTTACTTTTCTCCATGTCATTCCTTTCGTAGGTTCTTGCTTCGCTCCTTTTACTGGGGCATCATGGCTGAGGATTGCTGGACGGTGGGTCGAATGAACGATCATTTGCAGCAGAAGGACTGGGCCAAGAGTTACAGCTTTCGAGAAGAAAGCCTGCGCTACTGAAGGCGTGATTACTGTGCCTCATCGGGGAAAGAGTCGTGAGCTAACGCTCGAAATTTGCAACGAGCAGCCAGCAACAATTCTACCACGCAGTCCTAAGCTGCAGCAACCTGCTTCTTCGAAATTGGATAAGTCAGCTGCGAGCATTGGTATGGACGTCGACATATGGTTGCGACAATTGGCAAGGCTGGCATGGCAGCAGCCTGCCAGAGCTCATGGAAACCTTACTTATGTCAATCATGATGCGTCTAGATGCGTCTGTGATAAAATGACATGCTCAAGCCAGCTCAAGCTAGCAGGAATTTGAAGTACACGGCCCGCTTTATCCATTCAAATTTAGCCCAATGTAGCCCCGGCTAGTAGCTCTCCTGTACGAAAATTCTTGACCCTCTTTGTGACCTTGCAATGTATCTGCTCCTGAAAAAGACACCACAGACCCTCCGATCAGTGCACTTCATCAATCGGACGGAGATAGAGTACCAAGATTCGGCTTAGGAAGTCGGTGATTGAGCTTTCACGTGAACAGAGGTAGGTACACGGTTGCAATCTTTCAGTACGAGTGTACATTTCGACATGGTACACAGACACCCGGAGCACGAGAAGCTTACTAGGTACCGAGGGTTAGATATAGCTTGTGTCGAGAAGTAGCTACTAGCTTGGCATCGTTTTCACCCGGTGGAACTGGAACCGGGCTGACTCGTGCTGCGCCGACGGTATTGAAACCTTACGTAGCGGGTAACTTCCACTCCCCTTGAACAAGTCAACGATTTTCTGGTCATCGCATGGGAGTTTGGACGCGGCCAAGTCTACCTCACAGATGGTAAAGTGGACCTTGCAACTCCAAACGCCGCTTTTGGTTTTCCGGTTGAAAGCTGTTATCGGCAACGCCTTTTCAGGGTGATGACGATCTGAAACAGGCTCACCCAAATGCAATCGGTTAGTTTCTGATGGGGTATTGCAGCGAGCGATTTGTTCAAGTCCAATGTAATAGTCTGAATGTTATTATAAAGGGTACTGTGGTACGAAGGAGAACTGTCCTGAAGAGGCGACGCTTGTGCATGCGGTGCTTTTCAGTCCCATTGGCCAAGCCTCGGTTCGTTAAATTCTTACCGCATTGTCCATCTGGATATGGTTCTACCTTATTCTGGACTCTGCTAAATCTCCACCAGACCACCAGCTTGATGTAAGGAGCTGAAAGCTAGAAACAACTTTGAAGACATTTACTACATGTTTTTCTACCTGCCTAACGGTTTGGGAACAGATGTACAAGTTGAAGGGTCACAAGTGAAGCCATCAGGACCCCAGTCAAGGGCCGGGAAGGAAATGGAGAGAGCGGATAGGAACTCCTGACGAAACTAAGAAGACAAAACTCCGCGGGGCAATGCAGAAGGAAAGTGGTGTAAACGGGAAAGCTTCAGACTAGCGCATGGTCCTTGCAATCAATTAGGTACTTGCAGAGTCGAGATTTCAGTCTTGGTATACAAAGCTGCAATTAGGGGGCATCACAGAGCGTTTGGGTCGGTGACGCAGGCACAACACCCTTGCTCGGTTGAATTTGCATCTTTGAAAGTCCTGTTCGACAAGCTGGTTTAGCAACTGTTGGCGCCACAGGGCTTCCAGCCAATCGGAGGTGAGGGAGCAATGATGTGGAGGTCAATTGTGGGTGGGGCAGGTATGCCAGCTGGCATGATCCATCCAGAGCTAGCTGTGGCCCCAGCAAACCGTGCCAAGGTCAACCTGACCTGATTGGCTTCTGGCCCGGAGTCAGGAACCATGAACAAGTACGAGGTACTTGGAGTTGTCGGAGAAGGGGCATATGGAGTCGTTTTGAAGTGCAAGAATAAGGAAACCGGAGAGATTGTGGCGGTGAAGAAGTTCAAGGAGGGAGATGATGACGAGATTGTCCGAAAGACGACCCTCCGAGAGGTCAAGATGTTGCGCATGCTCAGGCAGGACAACATTGTTGACCTCAAGGAGGCTTTCAGAAGGAAGGGCAAGCTGTACCTCGTTTTTGAGTAAGTGGCATCCGTTTAGTTTGGTACTGGATTCTTCCTACGTTTACTGTGGGATTACTTAGCCTTCCCTTCAGCAATTATGAAAAAGTGTTGTCATGTGAGCTTTGCTGGTTTGGACGCTCATTGGAGTACTTAGGTCATTGCAAATAGCCAAATAGCCAGTTGTAAACATTGAAGACTGACTTGCGCATCTGCCTCAATCTCAATGCCGAACCTTCCTTGAGCACATCAGTCATGCCATGAAGAGGCTGTGCAAGCGCTGTGAATAGCACTTTCCTATAGCTGTTTCATTCTTTTGATATTGGCAAGCATGCAGGTCAAGAACAGTAAGGTTCACAAGGGAAAATGCAGTGCAAGTTGCCCCAGACTTGGTGCAGATTTTGCTAATTGAAGCCAGGGAATGCTACCTCTGCAAACTTGCGGAGGTCTATGCATGCACAAGGCACTGAGAGACCAAAGGTTACTGTTTCCTCAAATGAGCCAACTTAACAGCAACCTCATCATCACCCCTTACTTCAGGTATGTTCCCAAGAATCTATTGGAAGTTTTGGAGGAGAAGCCAGGAGGAGTGGAGCCAGAGCTCGTGCGCAAACTCATCTTCCAGCTTGTGACTGCCATTGCATGGTGTCATCAGCATGAGATCATCCACAGAGACATCAAGGTAAGGCTGACGGCACTCTTGCCCCTCAGTTTTGTGTGTACAGCCTGCATCTTGCAAAACCAAACAAACAGCGGGATGAAGAGAAACCCTCCGATGAACCATGATGATGCATATGTCCACCCTATCTATCTATGCATTCTGATAAGCAAGTCTGCCTGTCAATACGAGCCATCATTCAACCACTCAAGGCCACAGACTGTGAAATGACGCACTTCACTCTTTTGCATCTTTACAGCCAGAGAATCTGCTCATTGATCCTGGCACAGAGGGCCAGGGACCAATCCTTAAGCTCTGCGACTTTGGGTTTGCACGAACCCTGCCGCACAAAGGGGCTGCCCTGACCGACTATGTAGCCACAAGATGGTAAGCAGAAGCTCATACAACATTATTTGGTCAACCTTTGTTTTTGAGAAAAGGTTCTGACGTTCTTAGAAGAAACAGTTTTGGCTGACTTGAAGCTAGGACGCATTCAACCTCAGCAGATGCCTGAACACAGCACAATAAGGGCTAGTTCATTGATGTTACTTGTCTTCAGGCGAGTTATTGAAGAACTGGAAGAAACGTCTGTTCTAAAAATAGGATCGAAATGAGCCTTTTCTTTAGGTATCGCGCCCCTGAGCTTCTGCTGGGGTCAACAGACTACGGGAAGGAGGTGGACCAGTGGGCCGTGGGGTGCATGATGGGGGAGCTAGTGGATGGCCAACCCGTCTTTCCAGGAGAGAGCGACATTGACCAAGTGAGGAAACACTTAACTAACCCTGTCTTCGATTACCTGAACAAAAGGCTTTTAAATTCAAAGGACCACGTTCTTGGTCAGGGTCTGCGTCTATCACAACGTCTTTGAAACTGCAGCTCGGATAGGTCGCTCTTACTTTCAAATCAGCGCAAAGAAGACTGTCTATTACCAACTTTTGGGACCCCATCGAATCAAATGAGAGGATTGAACATTGGAAAGGAGGGATGGGGTGATGCGTCCACATGAAGGAATGTGTACCAATCAAGGATTGTGCTGACCCGCGCTCCTGTTTGCCTCAGTTGTACATAATCCAGAAGGTCATGGGCGCGCTCACGGGAGAGCACATGGAGCTGTTCCTCCGGAATCCTCGCTATGCTGGCTTCAAGTTTCCCGACATGGGGCGACCAGAGGTAAGGCCTCTCGGGTCCTTGAGTCGCCGTGCAATCGACAGCGGCTGACACTTGGTCCAAGACGTGAGACGAGGTCGTTGGAGACATTATATGAACTGATAAAGTTCTTTTTCTTTTGCACTAAACGCGGATGCGAGTTTGTTTCTCTGTTCCGTGGTCCTTCTCATCCTCTGAGAGTATGGGGGTTAAGGCAAGCGGCGCTTCCGAGCAGATTGCTAAGGTTGGTCTTGTCTTGCAATTGCAGATGCTCGATAGACGGTACGCTGGGAAGCTATCTCCAGCCGGCCTCGACCTGATGAAGGGACTGCTCAACATGGACCCCAGAAAGGTAAATTGCATGACTCGATTCCTAGAGATCATTTCAACTTTCGCTTTGACAACTTCGCAAGCGTTTTGTAAATGACCAGTCGGACGTGTACTTGCGAGTTTGGGACTCGTGGAACTGCTGACAGAAAACCAAGCCGGTCCCCTGTCTGCACGGAGAGACCATCTCGAGTGGCCTACCCTGACAATCCCGGACTCAGCAGCGACGTTTTCGATCCAAAGTTCTTGACCAACAGCATTAGCAAGCTTTCGAAGAAACAGTGCGAATTATAGAACGGCAATAGAGCGCGGAGATCTTTTGGCATTTGCAGCGCCTGACTGCGGAGCAGTGTCTTGAGCACGCGTACTTCGACGGCCTGACGGACGTCCACCTGCCGTCCGCCACCGCGAGCGCGCCGTCCGCAAACTACTCCGCCGCGGCCGCGGCCGACGACCACGAGTCCACGGCGCTCATCGAAACCCGCCCCTCGACACGTGGCAGCGTCGCAAACGACCTTCTGGTCACTCCCAAGCGCGCGCGCGCGCCTGCGGAAACGGCGAGCTGCACGACCTTCGAGGCGACGCCCGACAGCGGCCTGAACGACGAGGCGACGTCGCCGCGGCGCAACCTGCCCAAGGGTTTAGGGTTTCAGAGCCCGGCCGCGGCGGCGCTCCAGGCGGTGTCCGAGGAAGAGCCGTCGCAGGGCAAAACCGCAGCGAAGCCGCCACAGCTCGAGAGGCAGACTTCGCAGCAAGAACTGAAGCCGCCCCCGAGCAGGAAGCGCGAGCGTGGTCTGATGGTTTCGCCGTCGGAGGGGGGTTCAACGACCGTCGGGAAGGAGCGGAAGGCGATGCCGAAAGAAAAAGCGAAGGGACGGCGCGCCGGGGACAAGGAGCCGGAGGGGATGGAGATCGACCAAAGCGAACAGTCGGAGCTCCGAAATGGAGACGACAGCGAGATGGACATCGACACCCAGAGCGTGGTCAGCGACGGGAAGCCCCGGACGAAGGGGCTCCACGCGGGGCCCGTCAAAAAGGGGGGGTCGAAGAAGGCGGGAACCGGCCCCCCCCCGAAGCACGGAATCGTGCCCCCCCTGGCGCTGGGGTCCATGCCCGGGGCGCACCCGAAGCAGCAGCGGACAGCGGTGCGAAAAGCGGACGCGGCCGCGGGGTCGTCGACGTCCGGGCGCGACTCCACGCAGGCGGGCACGCGGATCTCCCCGCTTCCGACGCTGCTGGAGGGCGTTCCGTCCGAGGCTCCGCCGGAAGGCAACGCGGAGCGGAAGTTCCGGACGTCCGACGGGGACGGCCTCGCGGTGGAAGGGCTGAGCTTGCGTCACGAGAACGTCAGCGCGGCCACGACAGCCAGAGACTCCGTCACGGACGGGGTCGGTTACAATTTGGACGCGCAGCTGCAGAGCATCGCGGGCGGCTTCGAGGCTGGGGGTTTGGACGGGGTTTTGGAGCGTGCGCCGAGCCGCAGCAAGGCGGACCGGCGCGCCCCGACGTCGCTCGCGTCGCAGAAGGGGGCCGCGCGCGCGGATGGCGACTCGGAGAGCCGCCCCGCGACGCGACACGGTCGCGGGGAGCGCGAGAAAGCTAAGAAGGAGCGGGAAGAGGGGTTGCGGGGGACCCCCCTGCGGCCGGAACCGGTGCCGACGCCGCTGCTGCCGGCGGTGGGGTGTAAAGTCGAGGAGCACGAGGAGGCCGCAATGGAAGGTGCGAATAAGGACCTCAAAGAGTGACAACAGACGTCTCGTTTTGGTGCTTCTGTCGGTTCGGAGCGCTTACCGGTGTCTGTTTGTCCATTCAAAGGCACCTCGAAAACGACTTAACAAACGAGCTCCGCAGCAGGAGTAGCCGTGTTACTGCAGGGTTGATAATCAAGTTATTTCCTGGGTGCAAAGGCCATTTATTCTTCTCTGATCTAGGTTAATTCTGAGGAGAAGTTTCTCTTGTCTTCTTCACATTCCAACCGGTCGTGCAATCTGCAGGTCGTCGAAGGAAGGAGCTACGGTCGCGCGGATCGGTCCAGATTTCAGAAATAAGGTGGGGAGGCGTGCCTAGATGCTTGTGCATGTCATGCAATCTCTTTGAAGCTTCGGCTCCGCTCTGAACAGAGCCCAGCGCATCATGTTTAGTCGAGATTCTATCCCAGGAATCTTGCTTTGACTTGCAAAGCTCTGCGCCAACCTTACATCGTACCTTCAGCAGTGATTTTCGAGACCCTTTCCAATCGGTCCTTACCAACGCCCTTGCCTGCTTCTCCATTTGCAGCGGTCACAACTCTCGAACTGCGGGTCGCCGCGACATGCAAGAAAATCACCTGCCGTCGCCTTACGATGTCGGGAGCCAAGCGAGTCACGGGGCGGGAAAGGAGCGGTTGCGGCGCGAGCGCGAGTTACAGAGGGAGCGGATTGAGGAGGAGAACGGAACGATCGCAGGACCGGAGAGGAGCCCACGCGGACAGCATCCGGTCCAGATAGCGCTGGCGAGCCAGCCTCAGCGGAAAAGAACGGTAAGGAGCTTGTGCCCTTCTAAGCGGTAGCAGTCGAGCCGGCCCTATGAGAGGTCCCTTTGCGTATGATAGGTTCCATTACGTATTATAAGTCTCTTTGCGCGTGATAGGATTTCTGTTCCTTCGTGGGCCTTCTTTTGTCCGCCACCTTGCAAATAGTTTCCTGTTTTGCTACAGAGCAATCATCGCGAGTGCTTTGATGGCTGAACGGACAGAATATAGAGCTTCGCCCTGCTCATGAACAACTTAGTCATACGACTCGACAAGTCGTGCGGACGTTTCTGACCGGAAACGGTTTGCCTTTCAGGTGGGGGTGGGTCACCGGGCCGGTGGCCTGCCCACATCGCTGCAGCAGGCCTCGTCGAGCTACTCCGGGGCTGGACCGAGCAGAGCACGGGAGCCCCCAGGCAACGGACAGCACCCAACACGGGGCCTCCAGCAACTGAAACGGGTGAGTGGAGGCGCATGGAGATCGAAGACGTCGATTTTTTTCGGCGTTAGCGACTGTGTGTGCGACAAGGCAAAGTGTGCAGAAGAGATCCCCGAGTCTCACAACAATGTGAGCCGCACTTTGACCCGCTTTCGTGTCGCTTTTTAAGGGCGAATAGTATCATGTCAAATCTGAGGAACTTTTCCAGAGGGCGGACAGGAGTTGACAAAAGCTCTGCATTAATGGATTATCAAGGCGTATTGGTGTTTGACCAAGCAGTCCTCGTCGTTTGCAGTACGGATACGGCCCCTCGCAGCAGTTTGCAAGCGGGCCGTCGATGGAGCGCGGCGGCAGTGAGTACCGACACGCGACCACGAGCCACGGGCGCCTCTCATCGGACGGCTCTGATGCAAACGCGGCCGCGATGGACGCGCGGCCCGCCAGCCGTAACCTGAAGGCGGGACACGGGTTGCTAGGCGCGTTCCCGGGAGGGGGGGCTCTGGATGGCAGGACATCGACCCCCCTGATGCAAGAGCGGCTCCTGGGGAGGGCGAAGATCGCGCCGGTCGATGAGAGGCTGGAGAGCGGACAGGATGAGCAAGTAAGCGCGACGTGAAATGGATGAGACGTTGTTTTGAGGGCTTATCTGTTCGTTAATAGCACGTTCTTCTGCTAGATAGCACGTTCTTCTGCTAGAAGGGGATGATATTCTGGTCTGTTTCCGTACTCATCTTACGTAACTAGAAGCAAAAGGGGGCTTTGAGGAAAGATTCTCGATAAGTTGTGAAACAATGAGACAGCAGCACGACCCGAGACGACGTGACGGGGAGACACATTCTTAAGAACCGCGCCTCCTTTTGCTTACAGCTGGATTCACACGTGTCGATCAGGAGTCGCGGCGCGGGGCACGAGCTCGCCAGCGGGCGGGCACCGAGCCGGGTGAGCTTTGGACCACATTGGATTGCTTACAAGTCGGTTGAAAGGACACTGGATATTCTGTCCGTAACAACGAGACTTACGTATGTCTTATACCACTCTTTCGAAACGACCCTGACAAAATCAACACCCATGAAAACCAGGATTCCCGTCTGCTTTTGCTCAGCTTGTGAAGCTTGGAATCCATGAGATGCATGGAATCGGACGTCCATCGTTCCAAGGGCGTGCAGAAACAAGACACATGTCCAGTTCCGTCATAAACTCGGCACCCCTTCCTTGTGCAGGGCAAGGGCGTTTTTGATCTGGATCACGGCAGCAGCGCGTTGCCATATGCCGGCGGCGCCTTCCCCAAGAGCCAAAACCTACGAAACAGAGAACGATCCTGATCGTATTACGTACTCTAGTTGGCTTCGAGACATGAGCCAAGCACGTCTCCGCTTGCCGGCCCCGCTCGGACCAGCCTCGCATGGCTAAAGTGCGAGCACGCGGATAGAATAGGGGTCAAGGCAGTACACTGTCGGTTCGTTTGGTGTTGAGGGCATGAGCGTCGGCCTTTAGTACAAAGCGGGACCAGAGCTCGTGTCGCATGCACCTCTGGCTATGATGAAGAGATTGGCCTGCCACAACTTCACATAGTTGCTTGCAGTTTGCAAAGGTCTTGGGATATAAAAGGTGACGACTCGACGGCGTTCTTTCTAGATAGAAACTTGATGAGATTCGACATCAACTGCGTGCAGTCCGGGCGAGGGTTCCCCAGGATATCCAATCTGCAGATAGCGGTAGGGGCCATACAGTGTAACGGGCAGGTCAACAGGTGAATCCAATCAGGCGAAGGTCGTTTTTTGGAATTGCCGTTGGAGCGCAAGTAGGTTTAATCTCTCTTCGTGTCAACACTGTTGACATACTTCATTTGTCATTAGCAACTAGATAGTCAAGGCTGAACTAACTAACTAACTAACATGTACAGTGTGGACGGAAGAGGACTGGAGCTTTCATCAAGCAAGTCAGCCTTGTGGTCAGATGTGGACAGTACGACGAGTACGAAGGGACCGCTTCTCGTTGAATTTGATATTGTAGAGCAGTGTCCACCTCTAGTAGCCCTGCTTGTTCTGGTTAGCTTCTGTCCTGGCCCAGGTCTATTTATAGCACTAGTGGGCTTCATCTGCCGCTGAGTGACGATCAAACAAGCTTGACCCCGCAGGGTTCCTTCGGTTATTCGGCTTGTTCAGACTGATTCACTTTGTGCTGCGCGCTTGTTTTGAAAATGCAATGATTCGAAAGCAACCTCGCTTTTGCGTTCCTGATCAGTCACATGTGGAGCATCAGCCCATCAACCGGCCTGATGTATAGGGACGCACATATGGTGCTTCAGACCCAGATAGGTATTCAGTCGCTTGCGTGCAGCATTCCGTAGAAAGGCTCTCGGATGTACCCTCATGAAAACTTACCTAGATCCTGTACCCATCCTTTACCGACGGTGAATCGAAGACCTAGTGAGTTGATGAACGGAATCCAGGAATAAGATCGACGTTGATACCTTTCGACAATTAGCTGCCCTATTTGAGCGGCTGCACGTGTCTCCAGGCCATCCTACCATGTCTGTCCCGTATGATATTTTCCGTGTGTGAAAGGTTCGGAATACATTGCTACACATGGTCAGAGAAAGGCCAAGTTCATAAGCCCCCATTCAGACGCCCCCAAATCTTCAGATCTGCATATATAGAGAATTAAGCGTCGGGCTTCAGGCGCGCTTGCGCATCAATGTTGCTACCTTCTGATCGATTCGCTGGCTCCTTGAGCGTACTAGGTAGTTCGTCTCTAGGCCTTTAGGTCAAGTTTCCCCAAGTTTTTGCAAGTTGTGTGCGCGCTGTTTTCCGCACGGCATTCAATTGCTGGTGATGGCAGCACTGTTGAGGGATCCCTTTAACAGGCTTTCGCTTCACAGCATGACGTCAGTTCAAAAGCCTTCCGAATTGATACCGTACAGCTAGATTCGTTGAACGTGCGCTGCCGTCCACGTGGCGATTAGGTAACTCACGTGGTACGGTACCTGGTTCTGCGGTACCACTCTGCCAATCATCCAGGGCATCGAATCGTGACCGAATCATGACCTTCTTCAAGTTGTTCCTCGATCTGGATCGCTGCGTTGTTGCATGCATAATGAAATCGGTAGCGATATTGAAATAGGTAGGTACCTACATACCGCATGGTGGCATGTCGCAGCATTTGCCCTCGAAAGCTGCCCTTTCCTCCTTTCTCAGCTTTCAGGACCATAGATGTAGGTAGTGCAGGGGTAGTGCGCCATGGCTTCTAAGCGATCCTGGGGATGGAGAGCGCGTCAGGCGATCTTCCTCGTGCGCAGAGCCCTGGGGCAGCGCTTCCTGATCCTCGCCTTTGTGGTGTTCCTTTGCCTGTTTGTCGTGTCCATCTCTCGGACGCTTCTGACGTTGTCCTCTGAGCTCACACGCAGCATGTCGTCCACCGCCCTGATGGAAACACCACACAAAGAAGCTGCGCCTCAGGAGGTGGTAGAGGCGCCAAAGGCGTCCTGTCTCAGAATCTGGGAGCCAGGATCAGAGAATGCAGAACAGCAGGTCTTCGTGGATCGCTACCTGGAGAGCAGATGCGACACGATCCACATTTCGCGCGCCCTGCGTGTGGTGCAGGCGCTAGAGCCGCTTCCGGTCATCACCAAAGAGCAGGTGAGAAAAAGGGAAGAGGGAAGCGGCCTCGCAGCATTGCTTATCATTCTGAACAGACTCTGATCTTGCAGCAGTCTGAAGAGGGAACTGATCTTGCACCAAGCTCGTCACTTGCAAGGGTTTTTGGGGTCATATTTATATGTTTGGTCATGTCGATCCGCACGCCCTCGGCTTCATTACTCGTTGAAAAGTAGCACACAAAGCTTTTGCCTTTTGATGATGCAGGTAGAAGCTGGCTGGATGAACCTTTGCTGGGGTTGGAGGTAGGTGACATAATGTGCCCCTCAACAGATCTTGACCGCATCTAATCCTCTTCCTCCTAGTCTATCTGCAACCAATCATCTTTCACTTCAGCTGAGCCTCGGCTCCATCATTATATAAGCCCTTATGCAATGAAGGGGCTGCGTTCGCTCGATTACTATACAGTGGATTCTGTGGGATGCCCTCTCTGGACCACCGTAGACGGGAAGAGGAACCTCTGTCCAGGAACTGCGCGCTCAATGTTCAAACGAGGTGTAGTCGCTCTTTGAATGGCTTCTTTATATCGAGGAGCTCTCAGGAACTGAGTGGTCCCTCTCCTTGGCCACAGCAATGAGGAGGAGTTTGCCGGCTACAAGTTTGATGTGAACAACTGCCACATGGGCCTGCGGATACAGATCCTGGACAACCTGCTGTATTTCACGCCTGCACCGTTGGTGAGCTCCTTCGATCCATCTTCTACAATTGCGTATGTTTCACCAAGACATGGTGCCTGATAGTTGGCATTCTGGAGGGCAGGCCGGTGGGGGATTGGCGCCAGAGCAGAGAGGATGTTGTCATCCGTCAGCTTGTCAGTCCAGCCTGTTCGTCACTTTCAAAGGGCAAATCAGTGTTCCAGACCGCCGCAGATACACTGTCTGTGATCATGTGGACGTTGGACTTTCGGTTCCCCAATTGGAACCTTTCATGTGTCCATCATGTGGAGATCACGCTTCGCAGCGATCGCCTCTGTCGCCTGCCTGCAGCAGAAACCACGACACGTCCCTGACAAAACGCGCTGGCTAGCGTCAGGGGCAATAGTTTTGATTATGATGCTGTACCGTCCCTCTTTGCAGAACCACACCAACTTTAAGGACCTGGAATACTTGTACGCTGGTTACGGGACGATCCTGGACGACGGTCTGTGGTTCCAGGTCGGGAGGATAGTGCATGGAGACCCAGCGTACTACGACACTAGCTGGACGAGGCATGTAAGTCTTATGAAAAGCTCGCCCCTTTCTGTTTTTAGGGCGAGAAAGCTCACATAAAACGGTGCCCATCATTTTGGAGGGCCTCTTGACCAGGCTCGGTAAGCAGGGGTGGCTTCCTCATGAGGATGACGCTTCAGGTCCCCTGTCGGTTCTTATTGATAATGCCTAATTGGAGCAGGTCCGGCAGCAAGGATGGGATACCATTCGCTAGCTCAAAGATGCCACCGCTGTTCTGTCATTTGCCACTGTTGGGAAGGGGCAAATAGTGAACCGGTCGCACATGCCACAAAAGCTTGAAAAATCAGGCACTCTTCCGGGAGACAGCGACCAAGAATGGGAAAGCGACCTGGCCGAGCATGGAGACGTCAGACTTCGCATCATTCCTCCTTCATTGACGGGGACGGTACTTAATCTGGAGCAATCTGGATCAGACCACCGGACCATAGGGATCGTTCAAAGACTGTCTGGATGCAGTCGACATTTATTACATCAATCAATCATTCGCTCAATCAAACATATGAGAAGGCACAACAGGTTTGGACGGTGACCCAATCAACCGACGTTACGCTCTCAATCCTGAGACTCGCTAAGGCGATTTACTGAGCAGGAGACCACGAGACAACCTTTGATCATCAAGTCGAACTTCTAGATTATGCATTATCAGGGGCGGGAGAAGTCATTGGACATCTGCTGTACCAGTAGCCCGTTGATTGCTAACCCCAACTGCTAACCGACTGCTTCTTGCAGGCGATGCAAGTTCTCACCAGCCTGCAGAAGATGCTGGCTGCGCGCGACGCCCGATATTCTTCTGCTTCTGCCTAACCACTTAAGAACCTCCCCAGTAACCCATCCGCTTATCCGCATGTTCTCGCAGGCACTGCACGCTTTCGCCAGCCTGCAGGAGTTGCTGACTAAACAGAACGTTCTTCACCCTGCTGCTTATAAGGAACCAGAAAATTTTTCCCGGTAAACCAATCCGCTGGCCCGCATTTTCTCGCAAGGAATGACCGGTCTGCAGGATATGCTAACCGACCACACCTTCCTAGCCGACTGCTTATACCAACCAGTAGATATCCTCCCAGTCAACCGTGTTCTGCCGCCGGCGTTGCACGCGCAGGCCAGCCTGCTAGAAGTAGCTCATTGACCATGACCTCCTATAGCCCACTGCTTACACCAAAACCCACAGCTTTATACCTTGGGTAGATAACCTCCAGATTAACCTGCATTCTGCCACAGGCCTGCAAGAAATGCTGGCCGACCACGACATCTTATTACCCCTGCTAATCGTAGCCCGTACTTAACCTCTTGGTCAACCCGTTTTCTTACCGCAGGCGTTGCACGCGCTGACCAGCCTGCAAGAAATGCTTGCCGATCACGACGTTCCCGACGCGGACTTTCTGCTGTCCTTCTCCGACCGCTGCGCCCCCGTGGCCTACCAGACGCTGGCCCAGAATTTAGCGCCCATGATGTCGTGGAGCCTGCGCGACGACAACTACGGGGCGTCTTGCAACGCGCTGTTCCTCCCAACGTAAGTCAACGGATCCGCTTTCAATACTTCATGAGGTATAGGCACTAGGATCTTTTGGGAGACTCTTCTCATCCTACCCACGTCACAGCTTCATAGAAGGGGTTGCAGTATTGACTGAAATGCACGCAGTTCACGACCTGACTCAAATGATATGATGGGATACGGAGCTGCAGCCTGTGAAACAGCGGGCTTCAATCTCTGCAAGGTCCAAACTTGGCCACTCAAACGGCCGCAAGCTTTGAGGATGAACATCATGATATTTACGTTTCTCACCGAAGCTCGCCTGGAATCATCCGGTTGCTTCTTAGAACGCTTTTCACAATCTTGACACAAGTAAGCCGCAACACGACAAGGATCCTCAATAAGCTTCCTTCCCTCCTTGGGCTCGGTCTGTGGGCGCATGCCGCCGGTCGAAACTGTCCGTTGACCAGCTCTTCCTCCGCCCTCAACGTTTCTCCTCTTTTATTCCTTCCTCTTTCGCATTTTGCGTCTCTGTCTTCCTCCTTGTTCGCTACTTCCCTCTCTCGCTACTGTCCTCTCGCTCTTCCTTCCTCACTCGCTTCGCTTCCTTCCTTTCTCGCGTCCTCCTCTTTCGCTTTCCTTTTCCTTTCTCTTTTCTTTCTCGCCTTCCTTCCTCTCTCCAATTTCCGCCACTTTCCCATCGTAGGTACGACTACACGTGGTCGCAGCAGGACTTCAAGGAGGGCAGCCCGTGGCGCGTCGACAGTTACCCCCCCGTCCCGTGGGAGCTGAAAGACGCGCGCGCGGTTTGGCGGGGGACTCTAACCGCAGTCGAGCCCCGTGCGCGCGTGCTGAGAATGGGGCTGGCCCGACCGGACTTGATAGATTCCCGGCATACCGGCCCGGTAGACGACTGTAAGAGGCTATACATTCCGGCGCTGGAGAAACACGGGGGCCCGATAGGGGAAGATGACTGCGAGAGGATGACAACGGAATCCGCTCTGAGCGCAGAGGGGCTTCTGCATTATAAGTATCTGCTGGACGTCGAGGGACACGGGCCGTCGTTTCGACTGAAGAACCTGCTGCTGGCGAACTCGGTCGTGTTTAAGTTATGGGAGGAAGGGTTGCAATGGTTTTACCCGGATCTCAAGGCGTATAAGCATTACATCCCAATATCCGCATTTAATTTCGAGCTGGACCTTGAGAAAAAGATAGAGTGGGCACGGCATAACGATGACGTCGTGAAGAGGATCGGAGAGCGAGGGGCGGCTTTTGCGAAGCAGTATATAGACAATCCAAACCTAGCACGCTACCAGGCCCTTACGATATCTCTCTACGCTAGCCGCCTGTCGTACAAGCCCACCAAACACCCTCTAGCAAAGCTGATGTGCTGTAGAAACCTCACGATGAACTCGTGGAACGGGGAGCTCGAACATTGTCGGAAGCGGTGTCGGGAACGACCCTCGGTGACGTCACTCTGCAATCAATAGCTCAGGTGCTTGTCGACCTAGCGCGGCAGATTGCTAATAGGGTCTATAAAGACCGTCCATCTACCTCGAAGGTGTCGATTGAGCTAGCTTAAGCAAGAGGGTAACTTAGAGCTTACTGTGGGTGCACCACCATCGCGGTATCACATTGGGCGCGGGATGTATGGACGTGAAGAGATTGATCGAAGCATTGTTGCGCAGTGTATATTGACAATTGATCGGACCAAATTAAGTGAGGAATATTGCGTAATGGTAGAAGCATGCCAATTGGATCCGGATTTGCAAGCAGGTCACTGGCCCTTGTATATAGCCGCTCTCATGGAGGTATTAACGTACCATCATATATAGCATGCGGCCTGGTCTTTTTAGTGCCCAGGGCCCATCATTGAGACAAATTGGCAGCCCCGATATACTCATATTGATATCTCACCCGCATCAAATGACCGATCTCCGACAGAATAAGTCCCAAGTTCGACGCATGCTGGTCTCCCACAAGCTACCTATGGTGGGTCTCGACGGTATCGACCGCGTCTCAAATTTGTATGACCGGTGTCACGCGTCGCGACACATTTTGTACGCAGTACTAACGATCGTACTCGGCCGTGCTAGAGAATCGGGTCCGAATTCATGAATCGAGCTTTTCCTGACACGTCGATCAAACGGGCAATTACGTACTACCCGGAGGTACGGTACCGTCGCGCGAGACTCGAGTCTGCGCGGCCGACAAATTTAAATTTCATGGTCTTGGTCGGAACTTCCGACTTGTACCGTGCACGAGTACCGCGGTACCCAGACTGAAAGAAGAGTGCAGAGATTTGATATAGGAGTGTAAGAGAAGGCGCTCTTCAAAATCCAACAATGGCGGCCAACTTTGCGCCTCCTATGCTGCTATTTGAGATTTGTCCTGAACAAAACATGATGTTGGAGCTTCAGAGGACAGCTAATGACGGTCCCCCAACATTTTTTTTAGCTTGTCAAAGGTTTCTGCATGTTGCATAAGCCGCATCTTAGTGTGGCATTTTCATGCTCCCGTCAAAGTGTAAAATAATACACTTGTTTACAACTTCATGACACTCACTTACGGCCGAGCAAAAATTCCTGAGTACTCGAACCGTACATGTTTCGGAAGTCCGACTCAGCGTAACGTGAACCGCCGGTATCACTGACAGAATTTGATACCGGGTCCCACAATTTCGTTGCGGTTCGAGTCGGAGTCGACTCGGCCGGAACCCACCGTAGGTAGCTTGTGCCGAAGCACAAGAGCTGAAATATGCAGCTTCAAGAAAGTGAACAAACAAAGAGAAGCAACCAGATCTTCAGTCTACAGATGTTATAGCTGCATCAGCTGCAACTCGTGGAACATGTACTTACTTGCAGGCCGGAAGCATGCTCAAATCAACCGTTTTTCCCCGATCAGCAATCAGTAGTACACACTGAACCGGGTCAAGCCGAGAAGCAAGCTCTATCTCCGTTCTCGAACCGTGCTGGTTGCAGCATCAGGTCAACTGCGCAATACATGCCCTCGTCTTAATCCGTGAGAAGCTAGAAGCGACTCGCAATTGATCCAACTATACGACGACAATCCGCTTATCTTTCCTCAAAGAAATCTGAGTTTAGATCCACTAAAGCGCAGTCTGCTCCCTCATACCAGATCCGTGTATACAGTACCTAGGCTGGGAGTCCGTCTCACGAGCACTCAAGACGGCTCATGTCTCCTGTCAGAGGCTGAGGCTTGCCAGCTTCTCCTCGATCGTGGCAACTGCAAAGCAGGGGGTGTCGATGCTCGGTTAGAACCGCTGCCTCATAAGAGAGGCCTCACCGGGTGTGAATGTGAACCAGCTACATAAGAATACAATCCGGGGGTTCGGCCTCCAGCAACGGAAGAACTGAAAGCGCCTAGAGCGGAATTGTTGATGGAGACCTTTCGACTGAAAGTACGGTTCCAGAAAGTGAGACCTCCGAGATGAAACCCCTCAGTCACGATCGAAGCCCTCTTCAAGAGCTCACCCAATGCAGCGACTGTGATCGTTTGTCTCATTAAAACAATCCCAGACAGGGTTGCTTTTCTGAAGAGGTCCGCTCACAGGGTCCTGACACAAACCAACACCACGACCAGGGCACAAGACTGACCGCCAGTCTGTCCTTTATGTTCATCGGCGATCAGCGAGATCCAACGGCTCACCTTCGTTCTCGTCGAGCCGCCATCCCAGGGCGCCCACGTGCTCTTTCGCTTGCACTACAGACTTGCACCTGGCAGCAACAGAAAAACAGCCGGTCATGAGCTGCTGAGTTCTTGCCTGCCCTCGAAAGAGCTCCTGGCAGCAATAGGAGAGCAGCCATTTGTGACCTGCTGAGTTTTTGTCTGCCCTCGAAAGAGCTCCTGGCAGCAACAGGAAAGCAGCCATTTGTGACCTGCTGAGGTTTTGTCTACCCTCGAACGAGATCCTGGCAGCAACAGGAAGCAGGAGATCGCAACCTGCTGACTTTTGTCTCTCCTCGAAAGAGCTCATTACGGTCCACATCGACTTCCGAATTAATCCCGCGCTTGAGCGAACGTTCAAAAACAGTCATGTTTGACGGTTGAGTCTTTTTTGATAAGCGAAAGACGCCATTTCTACAGGGCCGCCACATCAGAGGCGGGCGATACCAAAAGCCGAACGCCCTTACAACCAAAAGCAGAGGGATCAGGACTCGAGACGTACGATCAGACACGGGAACTTCGAAGGCGCATACGATGTGCGACAGGCGGCGCTGCCTCCAGGCGGCATCTGGCCGCCTCAAAATCCTCCGGAAGAGGGAATCTGATGCTCGCGCAAGCACAAGCAGTTTCAGCGGAAGAGTCGGACAGGCACGCACCCTGGTATGGGAATAGCCCCTTTACAGACGAGGTAGTTCAACGCAACCTGGGTGACGCTCTTGCCCCCATTCACGGCGCCGATAAAGCTCATCAGCTGCAATAGCGGCCGCAGCTGCAGAAATGAAACGAACAAATAGGTGCATATTGTCAGAGTGCGAAATGACTTGCACGGATGGAAAGCGGCGACTTCGATCGTGCATGATGATGCTGTCCGGCTGCTTCGGATCTTTTCCAGCAGCCGCAAAGGTTTATTTGCTCGTGCTTTTCTCCGAGAAGATTGCGTCCGACAGCAACAAGGAGAACGAGAATCGATCGTCTTCATTGAACCTCTGCCTTCAATTAGTCGGCTTTGTCGAGAACATTGGCCCGAATACAGGGGCGACATCGTGTCACGATATCACGACATTACGACACTTGTTCCATGTAGCGGAGATGAGCATCTCGACTGCACCTACTAGTCAGGATTCGGAAGTTACAGTCCGTCGAAACTGCAGAAAAGACCCAGCCATCTCATCATTTTCCAGCCTTTGTTGACGTGATCTGAGGCCCTTCCTTTTCCACTCGTATTTCAAATCCCCTTTCGTTTCTGGTAATCCAGCAATCGTCAGTACTGTCACCTCACCTCGCTGCCCTGCTCTCCCCTTTCTAGTTGCCGCTGCGTCAGCTTGCCGGAGGCCAGTGGTTGATATGCTATCACCGACACGCCCAAATCCTGCACAACTGAACGAATTGCCCCTGAGAACGGTGTGCAAGATTTGCGCACCGGACATACTTCTCGCGCTAGGTATGCAGGGTCATCATCACCTTCGACCAACTTGGGAAGGGTTTCGGAACAGCGCTGGCTCAGTACAGCCCAAACAAAATAGCATTGATTGATACAAAAGCGAACCGCGATGCGACAACCAAAGACGATTGCTGACGGTTCCCTCACTTCTGACGGAGTGGCTCCGTTTCTGACTTACAACCGGAGTGAAATTGATCGACTTCGTGAAGTCAACTAAGGTACAACGGCTGTGAAAGGACGGGGGAGAATCAACGGCCTTCAAAGGAGCCTTGTCATGTCTCTGACCCGCTTGAAAACAACCTAACCAAGCTGACACTCAGGTAAAATAGCACGCACGTTATGTGGCATTTGCCCAATCCATGCTAGCAAGGGCAGCCGCGGTTGCCAACGAATCCACGCGTTGCAAAGAAAAAAGGGCGCCGTAAAGCGCGAGGCTTACTTTCGCCTTTTCAAGGAGCCCACTCTTGTCGGGCGCCCGACTCAGTAAACTGCAGCAAAGCACGTAAAGAAACCGTAAGACTCTCGATCCGAGAACGGTGCAGTCCGATAAGGTGCTGACAGAACCCGTGGAAGGAGAACGCGGACTACAGTTTTCAGTTCTGGACTCCCACAAGAGCTGTTACCCTGTGCGCGAGCTTCGAAAGACTTGGTGTAGCTTTGAGGTTGGTTGAGCGGTAACGTGGCCTTGACTAGTCTGCTCTTTGACCGACCGATCGTAACCCCACCGGGGGCTAGAATACCTACCTGGCATGCAAATACGGTACAAGACTGTGACCGGGCCGGACAAAGCCAAGCGACCGAGTGACCAAAAAAGTAACCAGTCTTTGAGCCACGTACGCGCGCATAGGATACAAGTCGGTGTGGGGGTCCAGAATTGGAAATTGTAGTCCACGTTCTCCTTCCATGGGTTCTGACAACACAGTGGGAAGGTACCGAAAGACGTACAGTGGCTCGGGGCATGGAATGAAGCATGTCCCCGGTGCTCGTCAAGGTAGATCTAATTGAGAATAGTACCTCATGCGGTTGCAAGCGAAAATGGCAGTTGTTCATGATTCATTGTCAGTAATGTGCAGAGGCTCGAAGGAAAAGGTCGAAGAGGATGAGCGCAGCCGCAGGATGCCTCACCTATACTGGACTTGATTGGAGGCTAGGGGGATGCCGTGCTTGTCTAATAGGGAGTGCGCGTCTTCCATCTGCAAAACGCAGACTACCCTTAGCTGAGTTCTTGAGCATCAAAAGCTTCTCATGCTTCTGGCGTGGAAACTTCGCAGAAGGAACACACAGCTGGGGCTGACGCTTGGAACCGAAAAGTAGAGTCCTAAACCCTCTCCTGCAAGAGCGCTAGTCTGCAAGCCCAAACGTCTGCCAGGTTCATTCAGACCGAACTCTGGGGCCAAACAAATTTACCACACCACAGACCTTCCCATTACAAACGATCAATCCTTTCGATCGGGCGAGCCGATCCCATCAGCTACAACCTCTAAACGGTGCTGCTGACACCACCTTGTCGTCCTGACCAACGTTTCCTCCGGAAAATGGCCAGCATGTTTGACGTACGGTAGGCAGCGAGCATAGAAACGTCACTGACCTGAGCTAAGGAGTAGTTGGAGACGCCGACCGCGTCCGCCAACCCGAGGTCCCTAACCTCTTTCAAACCGTCCATGAGCGTGCTGTTCGAGAAGGTGGGAAATGGGAAGTGAATCTGCAAGCCAAGAAACCCGTAAACGTCAAGCCAAGAAATGTGTAGACGTCAAACCTGGGACCTCGAGGAAACAACGACAAGACATGGGCATCGGGTCGACCAGTGCTTCGACGTAAGTAGCGCAGGAAGAAGTCGTCATAAAAAGGCCGGCTTTGCGGGATACTCCCAGTGCGGCGGTTAATCAGTGGTCGTCAAGAGCGTTTGCCGCTTCGATAGCCGTCACAGTTGGGCCTTGGACGCCTTTTGAGCGAACCGTTGTACAGACATGAGACCAGATATCACAAAAGGTTACACCGCAGCTCCTAATAGTCGGTTCTTTGTATCACCAGACTCCGGTCAGGGCGAAGACAGTCGGGATTATATGCTGTATTCGGGCACCTCTGGAAGCCAAGAGTCTGGCAAGGAAAGTCGGGTTGAGGAAGCACCAGTTTAATAGATTTGAACAAACGACGAGAGTCATCCCAGATCTTGACGATTAATACAACGGCGCTGATAAGTGGAAACCGAAAGAGGGGGCCTCACCTGGTACAAATCGACCTTGTCTTTGCCGAGCCGTTTGAGGCTCTCTTTCAGCGCAGCAATCATGGATTTGCGTCCGAAGCGAAATCCTCCACCTGAAAAGAAGCGGAGGCTTGAAGACGCCGCTACCTATCTTCTAGGTCGGGATATGTTCGGAGCACTAAGCAGCCGGATTGGATGGAAACCTATGTATGCTCCGCAATTATAGACCACCAAAGACACCCCAGCGTCACCTCGAGATCCTTGTCAATGGTTGGTGATGCTCTTCCCCTTTTGAACCTTGCTATGCGCCACAGGCTGTCCTGTTTTCTGAGGGATCTTGAAGCGGTGAGCGTGAAGGTGCGCGCCAATATTAATCTCGAATCTGCGATCCAGCAGGACCTCTTCATTGATTGTGTCTCAGATCTGAAGCCCCTCACCCACGAGGAGATTCGTCCAGGGAATCGTGAAGAACTTGGTCGCCACCACGGGCGCCGGTTTTCCTGCTGGTAGCGACTTGGTGAAGCGGCCCACCAGCTGCTCCGAGGACTGGCCCTTCTTGATACTCTCATACCCGTACACCTGCACACCGGAGGATTCAACCTGAATGATTTTGAAATCCGGAACGAGCTTTTTAGCAAGTCCATGAGCAGTGATTCGTAAGAGTGGATGTTCGAACGATTCGGCCTCGATAGAAACCGGTACGATTTATGATGCGTTCCATTCTCCAACGCATTGCCGGTGGTATTTGCCTGAAATCAAATACCAGGCAAACTCCGAGCAGAGAAATTCATGCCTAGCAAACGAGCAAGCAAATACGCAAAAACAAACTCCCTAAAAAGAAGCGACTTATTAAGATGTTAAGCTACACAAGAGTCTTCAGGGGAAAAGTCATTCGACTGCTCCCATTACATCTTCGAATCTGCCTCTGCGACCTAATCTGCCCTTGTCCGCAATGCATTTGTCGCTGAGAAGAAGATCGGTCCCTCAATGCCCTCTCTGTGCTGGACAGACGTAATGGCTAAGTGAATATAATTGCAGATCAGGTACTGCTGATTACAATTTTGACAGACTCTGATCGGTATAACATGCACTTTGATTCGAATATGGCAGAGTTTCAGTTACGTAAGACCTCATCGAAGACCTTCTGCCCTTCAAATTGGGTGGCTTTGACAGGAAAAAGATGATCACAGACTTCCTGTCCCTTCCCGTTTGCACCGATCAAACGTGATTAACAACCACTAACGACAGTTATTGAATAGGCCTATCAAGTAGCTACTCTCGTTACAGGATCACAAGTGTTGGCAAGAGACACAGGCTTCTTCTGCTTTTGAACGGGTGAGATCTGAAAGCTCGTATGCACTACCAAGGTTCGATCGTGTGATTATTGAGAACGTTTGTAGGAGATGCATGTTGAGATGCATTTTGCCCAAACCCCACTCTGGCATCACAGTAACCGACCACTCCCACTGGTGCTTGTGATATGTAACCGTCAATTGAAGAGTTATTCCCAAAAACGGAGGTCCAGAGCGGTTAACTGGCGTCCACAATTTACAAGTTCAGGACGATTATCTGCTGGTAGACAGACCCATCCATCTCAAGACACTTGTGGTGACTAGCCCCAGCACTTAACCAGGAAAAGGGAAAGGGTCTCCTTACTACAATCTGTGCTTGAGCACCTAATGCGTTCGGGCGCACTTCATTTCGAGAAAGTACAAACTGATTAGGCTCATGCAAAGAATCAAGCTCTTTCTCCATTTTGTCAGCAAGATGATAACGAAAGGCAACGGGAATGTGGAAAAAATGATGAGAGCTCACCTCAGCCGTGTCAAAGAATGAGATCCCCCCTTCCGCTGCTGTGTCAAATACCTCCTTCAGCGTCTCCTCGTCGTAAGAGTCTCCGAAACCAGACCCAGGGTCCCCCCACTGTAGCGTTCCAATGCCGACAGGTGAGACTTGCAGGCCAGTCTTGCCAAGTTCTATCCGGTCTGCAAGTCCAAGTTTGTCAATTGCAATCAGATAATGTCGTGAGCCGTCGTATTTTGAAAGTCTGTGCTATAGGCTTCGGTGGAATGTTTGAAATGTGGCATGTTTGAGAACGAATGTTTCATGACTCTTCTGCAACATGTTTTCTGCTGCATGATTTGTGAAAGCGGTTGTGAATGTTTTATGAAACGAAGTGGCAGGAATACAGGATTGCATTGTTTGCACCAGCGCAGATGCAGTGTGCTTCCGCCAGAAGTGGCAGGGAAGAAAGCAGAGTTCCCCCATGTGCCACGGTACCAGTCTCAGATTGGTCAGGCTCTGCTTCCGTGCACACAGCAAGTCCACTGCGAGAGGGAGATCTTTCAACGCCATTGACTAATATGCTTTCCTTTGAGGCCTGGAAGCCCGTGGACTCTAGTTTGGCAGCATTGGTGACTCTACTGCAATCACCGCCTCACCCAGCGACAAATTGGATGCACCTCCAAGGGTGTGCCTAAAGGACCAACAGCCGGGGCAACGCAATGAAATCTCAGGAGCTTGTCTCTGCTATGTCCAATAAGCTGAAAAATCTGCCTGGGCCAACAGCTTCCGGCACTTGGCCGAGTCCTACAGCGAATATTTTCATGGAACGTACCTTCAGATCGTGCTACAGTTTTCTCAGCATTGCTCGCTCCAGCAGCTCTGCATGCAAGCTGTCGCTTCCTCCTGCGCTTGATGTGCCTGTTTGCATCCACATCATGGAATGCCGACTCCCTGATTGCTGGTGATGCAAATTTTCCAAGCAATGCAGCGCCTTGGCCGAGCGCCCTCGATGCAGCTACTTCTGCCTCAATCTGGCTTGCTCTATTATTGACTGGGCAGCATCTGGGCAAAGCCCCTCTGTTTACCGCAAACGCCACTGCCATGGCCGCACCTTTGGACAGGAAAAAAATGAGAAGAGCTAAAAAGGAGGTGTTAAGGTAAAAGCACCAATTCTCGGACACCTAAGCGCGTTCAGGGTAAAATTAGGTCAAATGATGGTCAAATTTTGAGCTTGCTACAATGCTGGAATCTGCTTGGTTGGGGCTATCTGCCACCTAAAATCTGGCTCAAAAT